GCTTTGGTAATAACATAATTTACATGGGAAGACCATTTACAGCTTTTATGAAATATTATTCCGAGATGTTTATGTTCGTCAACGTCCTTAAGTTCAGTCCCATTGAAATTCAGTTCAATATTAGTTGGCACATGTTTTCGGGAGAAGGTCATGGAAGTTGGTTTTGTTGGGTTGCAGGTGACTTTCCACTTGGCTGCCCAAGTCTTAATTGAGTCCAAATCATTATTAAGAATATTACTACATTCAAAATTATCTTCTATGGCCATGTATAACGACGTATCGTCAGCAAAGAGACGTATACTAGACTTGATATCATTTATTACATCGTGACAGTAATATCTTAAAGGAGCTAAATCGCTAATATTTGGGACCTAGAAATTGACACAAATGGGTCGCAACTCATATAATAATGTAATCTAAATGTATATAAACTGATTTGCATTCAATCGTTTCCGTTTTTACTCTATAATTTCAAATCAGTTATGTTCGGCGAAATACGCCAGAAAGTCTCAATCGAATGGCAATCTCTAGCGTCTGTTTATTCCAGTCTATTGCGTATATGCTCTCCGTTTGACATGACTTGTGGAATGTCTAGCCTCGTTCTTCGAGTCCCTTGTTACAAATGGTGCTGAAACGCATTATGGTACACGATTCGTGTACCAATGGTAAAATGTTTACTTTGTCTTTAATATTGGATACCAGAAGCCCATATTTTCCCGGTAAGATCACATCAATGTTGATTTAAATTGACAAATAATTCGTGTTTTCAACACGGAAGACTTTAGATGATACTGAATTAGAGACTTAGCACAGGCACTTGAAGGGATTAAAACAAAACTTCTTACTACTGTAATATATAGTAAAAGAGTAGTAAGAAGTTTTATTTTAATCCCTTGAAGTGCCTGTGAGACTTGGCTACTTTAATGTATATTAAAGAGAGGCAGCCTTGAAGAAATAAAGGAGACGAATTAATATAAGCCTTTGGCTTGTTTTTGAATTCTTATACCTATTGACAGTGTATGTATACAATATCCATCTTATTTGAATAAAAATATTGTTTAAATCAAGAAATAAAACTACACTTACATTTTCCATTTACAATTGATACGACTGGTCAATTGACAATACATTCTTTAAGCCTATTCTATTGAAAGAAACGAGTCACGGCTAAGTGGAGCCTACCCCTATTATCCCTACATGATAGTCAAAATTTGACCAATGTCAATGTTTCAAGCTCAGTAACTTTGCACACATGACCAGTTGTTAATGAAGACGTATGGTGGGGTTTTCAGTCAAAGATTTCAAAAAGAGTATATTCGAAGGTTGAACCAATAAGTGGCGGGGTTCCCTAGAAAGAAAGTTGTAGCTTGTGCTTTATGAATCCTCAAATTTTTTACCAACCCCACCATCTCTGGTATACGGTAAGTACAGTGGAGCTTGGTGTTGCAGTTTGTTGTTTTTGTCGTAGTATGCTTACCATTAGTCGAGACCTTCATGCTTGGTTGCATACACTTGGTTTAAACAATATTTTTATTTCAAGTACAACATGAGTATTTGCAATATTGATATAATGGATTTGAAAACAAGCCGAAGCTTAAAGTAGCTAAGTCTCTAACTCAATATCATCCAAAATTTTCTCCATTGAAAACACGAATTATTTGTCAATTTAAATTACCAGAAAAAGATGGGCTTCTGATATCCAATATTTAAGACAAAATAAACATTTTACCATTGGTACACAAATCGTGTACCATAATGCGTTTCAGCCCCGGTTGTAACAAGAGGAACGAGGCTAGACACATTGCACCAAATCAAACGGCGTCTCCATATACTTATCTGGAGACCATGCGCAATAAATACTATGTAGACTGGAATAACCAGACGCTAGAAATTTGCATTCGATTGAGACTGCTGGCTTATTTCGCCGAACACTTGAAATTAGAGTAAAAACGGAAACCATTGAATGTAAATCAGTTCATATAAAGTCATATTACAGTATTATATGCGTTGCGACCCAATTGTGTCAATTTCTAGGCCCCAAATGTTAGCGATTTAGCTCCTTTAAATTCATTTCCATGTAAATTAGTCATCATCATCATCATCAACATTTAACATTTATCACTGTCGCCTGCCAATTACCTCATTTATTCAAAGCGTTAAGTTAGTTTAAAATACTTGTGAACTTGACTAAAAATTGCTTCGTTAAACATACATTATGCAAGAGCAAAATCTGATTATTGCAAGTCTTAATTTAGGCTTCAGATGTTATAGAAATTATAAATTAGATCTTTATTTAAACAACAAGCCCAAAATCAACTCCGTAGTCCCACGGATGGCTCGGCTACAGCTTGGATTTAAATAGGATTTCACTTATTAATTTATTCAAATATGGCGCATCCTGATGAGAATACGTCAGTTAGATCGAGGCTTAGCGAGGCCGCTGTAGAGCGTTTCCGCATGCCATTGAAAACTGTACTTGATTATCGAGATATGTAGGTGGATTTAACGCCTGTCAATCAAACGATCGGACAAGGTGAAGGCACATTTCACTACCATTTCTAGTCAAATATTACAACGATGATAACTATAATGTTCAGAATAAAGTAATTTGACTGGAATTTTCAATATATTCTTTTTTCATCATCTACCTTTGAACTGTTATAGCAAGAATGGCCAATTCTCTATAAAAAATCTCCCATAATGTATCTTTAAGTTACTTTCCTTGGGATCGCCATAAAGAAACGCTTTTGTGTGTTTGGATTTAAGTGGGCGGGTAGTTAATGTTATGATACGCTGAGTCGCATAATTTGGGCAGTTCAGAAAATAGTGATCGTTGTCTTATTGAATATGACCACATCATCTACATGTCGGATTATCAGAAATATGCATACACTTCACAACCTTATTGTAAATGTTCTATGGGCGACACCCTCTTCCAAAAAAGACAAAGGCCACGTCAATTTAAGTATGACCTACCCGAAACTTGGCATGCATGTTTTTTGACACTACTAAGTGTGTGCCATCATCATTATCCCAGTTTGTGCTGAAAAGTAGGTCATTAAATCTAATTTCATTTAGAAAGAGCTTAGCGGTTGATTAGTCTGTAAACTTTTCTTAACAGACTACCAGGGTGTATGACAAGTGTGAATTGTAATGACACGTATAACTAATGCAATTAATTCACTTATTTCATTACAATAACAATTTGTAACCACCTGTTATTAATGAACAATATCTGTCTCTACTCTTATACTAAGTCTTTTGTTTGTAAACGACTTGTGGAAACTAGATAAAGTTTTGAAGTGTAGTGATTGTATCCAGACCGAGTAATAATCACTATAATCAGTTGCTAGCTGCTTCTCAGGGATTAAACAATTATCTTTCTTTAACTGGTGGTAAACGTCCAGGTTCCGCTTCCTTAGAGTGTTATATCGCAGCCAAAAAATAATTTAACGTGTGAAATAGCTTTATTTAACGCCCGCTTCTACGTGAGTCATATCGCTCACAATGAAGTTGCATAATATTTACGAAAAAGGAATATAACAGATTAACCTGGGTCAATTCTTCAATCCGTTTGATGTCTGGTCATTGTGTCCTAATTAACTCTATTATTTGGAAGACCGACCATAGACCACCATTTGGTCAATCCTATTAATTAAGAACTTCTAATTAGAAGGCTATTATGTAAAGAATTAACACTAATTTTCGATATAGACGATTTTCAACAACCACTACATGAACTGATCTGCCTTATATATCAGTGTATCACGTTGGGTGGTCTTTATCTGCGATATCCCTACCGTGAAGCCGGTGTTTAACTTCAACTAGTCAGTTAGTCAGCATTGGAAATAGGAGTTGTTACATTTACGCAAGGTGAACGATATAACATGTCTATGTAAATTTAATGATTTGGGTTATTTTATTTTAGCGTGCTGGGGTTTTATCTAGAAATGGTTCCACTACTGATGTCTTCCTCCTTACTCCAGCATCAGTTTAACGTTACAAGTATAGTAACTAGGGTTTTATCCCGATTTTGAGCGAGAAAGTTCAACGAGATTTTCTGGCGTGGTTTCCATTTGTCAGTGGTGAAGGACGGAGGGCTTGATTAGACAGCCCCCATTCGCTCGGAAGGGACGAACAATCGAGGTCCCATGAGCACATAGACGTGCACGTCAAGAACCCATGACAAATGGAATTCGAAATAAGAGTAGGCCATAGAGCCGCTGTCCGGTGTGATAGTTTGAGTTGACTCCTGGTGTGTGTTTTCTCCTGGGCACTTGCGCATGTCCGAAACTGATGTTCGCCTTAACAACGAAACTATATCTACTTCCTGCGGTGCGAGTTGGTTCCTGGGATGGTCAAGATCCAGTAGCGTGCCCTGGACGACAGTATGGAATAATACTAGATCTTTAATTGTGTCATCTGGAGAATATCTTTCTCTAGGGTTAGGGTTAGGTTTATAAATTACATGTCAAACGTACAAATTGAAGCTGTAACAACGGTGGATTGTGGCTAAAACTATTCTGAAGGGTTAGGGTTAGAATTGTGGGTATAAACACTGACAGATGTGAGATATTCTACATATCGGTTCGCATTTTGGACGGGTATATATACTAAATAATAATAATAAAGATCGTCAATTTGCATCCTCTCGTGGTGGTAATACTGTAAATATCGGTACATAATAGTCTATATATTGATTTGACCGTAAGAAAATCGTAGGGGAAATCCTATCACGAGGAGTCAATGCACACCGCGACTGTAACGGTGTGAGTTGACTCCTACAACTGCGCATGCGCCAAACGGTAATCACACACCAGGAACCATCTGAAACTGCCACACCGGGTAACATTCATCTGATAAAACACTGTTTGGTGTATTCCGTCTTCATTAGCCCATCCGGAGCAGAAAAGTAGAACGTTAAACCGCATCTGCTTTGATTTTGTTTTATAAAAAAAAATCCATTGATTTGATAATGAATATTATTTCTTTTATTCCAGATGATGGGTGTATTAAGTAGTCCAAGTAAACAGTTATATGTTGTGTTTTGTTTAACTTGCTGTATGTTTATATATGTGGTGTTGATATACAAAGCTCTACCTTATAAATTAACAGTCATAAAACACGAAGGAGATTACAGATTATCAGATTATAAACATGCTCATTTTCACAGGTATTTTCTTTTAATTGAAATGAAATGAAATGGGGTTTAACGTCCTACTGTTCTGCTGCGGGTGGACTATAAGCGGAATTTTGCCCGGACAGCGGCAATACGACCTACTCTTATATCTAATTTCAACTGCCAAGGGATCTTTACGATACACGGGTACGCCTAATTTTATTTTAATTAGATGACTACAATCACTATATTGTGGTACGAATGGATAATTATGGAACTGTAAACTGGTTTCTTTCCCACTTGTGCCCTTATTAACGTGCCGTTATTACCGTGAACCACTGAAGTACATTCCGCGGCGACCTGAATTCAACATGGAATTGAATATTTCACTATTCAACTTAGATTGGCCCATTAATTTCATTTAAATTTTTATATTGATTTGTTTTGTTGAGTGACAATCTGTCTTCTTAAAAAAATGTAAGATCCATATAGATAAAACAAGTTTTGAGATAAAATTGTCTTTTGTGTTCAACTGTAAAAACAATAAGTAAACTATGAAAGCTCAGTGTTGAGATATAGCCAATGTTTGTGTTCAACTGTCAACACGCGAAATATGAAATTAGTAAACAAGCCGAGTAATGCTTAATATTTCGAAACAAAAAAGTTTAATCGTAAAGAGCTCACTCCATCACCGAAATAACATCTCAATTCAATACTTTTTTTTTCAACCTAAATCAATGAAGTTTAGCCCCTTTAACATTTGTGTTTGGTATTTTTCAGACGATACAAGCAACAGACTGGTAGTTTATATATTTTAAACAATGAAATTATATCTGATAGTTCAATACATGATATACAAAATATTCCAGATGCCCATTACGTTCAAATAGCACAGTAAGTTTTTATATACTCAATATTTATTATAATACGATAATATGTAATACTAATATGGAAGATATTAAATTTATCAATTTCATATACTTCGGTAATATGTAATATGCAAGGTGTTTAATAATTTCACATAATATGTTAATATGTAGCTAGTATGCCAAATATTAATTAATTTCATATAATACGGAAATATGCAATATTATGAGTTATTTATTAATTTCATATAATACGGTAATATGCCAGATATGTATTACTTTCATATAATATGCAATATTCAAGATATCTATGGATTTCATATACTATGCAATATGCAAGATATTTATTATAATTCATATAATACGGTAGTATATGTAAGATAATTATTATTTTCATATTACACAGAAAGTTGTGAAATGGGGTTAATTCGGGTTAATATACAGTTAGTTTGTTTTATACAAGATTTATGTGCCTTATGTTGTTATATACAAGATGTATATTTTGGTTGTACAACGTGGCAGACTTAAGTTATGCAGAAGATGTTTGCTGCGTCCATGTACGAACTAATAGTAAGGTGGGTTTTTTTCTGTTTATATCTGCAGGTCTGTGAGATCCATGGTTGACGGTATTAAAATGTCCATTGAACAAGGTGCTTCGTGGATTTATCTCCCTTCTTCAAATCAACACCTGGGTCAAACCTTGACGAAATTTAACTATAAAAAAGAGTTAAATAGTTTAATTTACACTGGACCAAATAAAAATGATGTGAAATTTCATTTCATAGCCCAAAAATTCAACAATCCTGATGATTTTAAACGTACTTACGTTTTTGGAAAATATGAAACGCCATCCATTCAAACATTCTTCCAAGTCGACCCTCAACAGTTAAAGTCCATGGATTATCGTGCTCCTCCCGTGACGGTCAGTACATCCCCGCTTTACCCTTTTACTCAGCAAAGCACCCTCTATTCATATAAAGCATTCTGGGCTTTGGTTCCGCTTCAAATAAACTCGGTTATCTGGTCGCTGTGGACGGGAAGGTTACTAATGGAACTGGAAGACTATATGGCGTTTTATGCACCCCCTTACGTCGGCATACAGGGGTTCAGTGAAGGACATATTTTGCATGAATTTGGAGAGATGAGGCGCGCCTCACTCAACTGGAAGTGTGATGAAAGAGTCACATTTTTTACGTGTATGGTGGACTTAAGTCAAGTTTTAAAAGACAAAGCGATATTTTCCGATTATGATGTTTCCATGGTTACAAGCTGGATAGAAGAATTGATATCCAGTGGATATTCCGAACCTAAGAGAAAAACACAGAACACAAAAATACAATTTTTAAATAAAATGTTATTCTGGCCTTCCAAGGGCGTGGCTGAAAAACTTAGTAAGACGGAAATATTCAACGGGACTTGTTCAAAATCTATCGGTAATTGTGACACTGTTAAACCCCTTGGCAATGTTAGGTTTAATAACGTTTTATTAGTTATAGTCATCAACATGCCCGGATATTATCACGTGATCGATTACATGGAATCTTTATATAAACCGATATTTCCACAACGATTATACTGTTCTTCTAATATGACAAGTCTAAATCAATTTTATCGTAATTTAAAACACAAAGAAATATCCTTTATTGAAGTTAACTTCTTTAATGGACAGTTTGGTTATCAATGTATCCAAAAAGCTCATCAACTTAGGTATGATGTCAACGGGTACCTGCATCTATCTGATGACGTCATGATGAACTTGTGGAATATCGCGTCACTTCCGTTAGACAGACCCTGGTTTCAACATGATATGAAAGTTGGGAAATTCACCGATAAAAAAGTTGCAGATGTTGCTAGCAAACCTTTTTGGTGGCCATGGGGTAGTTCTATTGGCATTAACGGTGTTAAAAAGGCATTCAATCAGCTCATAAATGTTACAAAATCCAACGACCCGATGAGTGACAAAGTGCTTTCCTTTTTTAAAACATTAGCGCAGAATGCTGGAGGCAGCAGTCGAGCATTTTACCAGGCATCTGACATACATTACTTGCCAATAAATATGGCGGATGATTATGTGTATTTTGTGGATTATTTCAATAAAAATCGTGTGCATTTAGAGATAGCAGTGCCGACGATATTAAGTGGTTTAACGCCTAACAAGAACATTGTTAAATTACCGGGTATTTATTTATGGCACGAGAAGAGACGGAATTATCGAGAATTATATAAACAATCGGACGTTTTTTTACACCCTATGAAATTAGCCTCATGTATGAAAAACCCAACTTGTTATCAATTCTACTGTAAGAGTTATATCTCATGTTGGTATAACGTATGAAACATAGGGTATGTCAACATTGCTTTCTTTTTGTACAGTTACCGTACATTATTACCACTGCACCAGCAAAGAAAACATATAGGTTCACGCACTAACTAGAATGTGCTGGTCCGAATCCAGACGTGGGTGGCGTCATCTTCAAGAGAAGGCTTCATCTCGCTCACAGCTTTATATCAAGATGTTGTAAAACTAGCCGCCGTTGATGCGGGAACATGGGACAGCGTGGACCGAGATGATTTGACATTTTCCAAGCCTGGTTACCATTCTTATCACCTGACAAGTGATGCGACGGACAACTGAAGGTCTGAAGTCGTCATCAATATACACGTGATTATTCTGCAAATCCACGGGAGGAACATCCTATCACTGAATTTATCTCCGGGCGGAGGGCTGGGGGGGATCTTGTAAATATGGTGTTTTGGTGCTAACCCATCTTCATTTTATATTGGTCTATCATAATGTTTTACAGATATTTAAATTACATCTTATTTCTAATAAATATTGTTCACTGTTGAAACGACTTTGTTTTAGTTAAAACACAACATGGATATTAGCGCGAGGCGGGGATTTTCGAAAATAAAAGGTGTGAGCGCGAGGCGTGGATATTGGCATGGATATGGATGAGGTAAGATATTCGAAATTGATATGAGAGTGACGGGGATATTCGACATTGATATGGGTGATGTGGATTTCGACACTCGAGGCACGGACATCGTACATATATGGGCATATATGGGGGGGGGGATTCGTGGATATGAGCAAGGCTGGAATGAATATTCACAGTTTACCTGAGCCACGCGGGGATGTTCGACATGAGCATGGGGAAGGCAACGATAGTTCTATGTGGAGTCGTCACGATTCTGTTGGATTCGAACGCAGTTTAAAGTCAACATAAATAGCTAATTTGATAATTCGATCGTATTGATGCATAGTCCCTGTTACCCAGACGTATATTGACACAATTAGTGTGGGTAACCGAGACTAGCCACGGCAGGACCAGCGACTGTACTCTTTTACGTGTAAGATCGCGTTGCATAGACGAACATCGAATACGATCTCCATAATATATAACGTATATCAAATTGAAAGTATGCACTCGAGGGCCAGTCGTAAGCGTAGAAATGTTTTCGTGCACAGAAGAACTGTGTTAGGCGTCACATATATACTTTCTCAGACAGAAAAAACAAAATCTTTCAATGTAGCAGACCCAAAGTATCGCACCCCTCAAAAAGTCCCTCGCACCGCCATAGCTACCTCCAATCACCCAAGCTCATCTGATAATAACAAATACAGAGAGATACACATATAATCATTTATTCCAATCATCTGTTAATTATATTCTAATAAAACCATAAAATATATTTATTCGTATATACCATAAACATTTATTATGAAATTACTTATATAATCTAAACCGGTTGTATAGTAAAAACCCCAAAATATAAATATCTGGCCCAGCCACGTACCACCCAAACCCAAATTTGGGTTCAGTCATTGAAATTAGCAGTGAATACAAATCCGGTGATACAGATCTTTCAAACACAAAAGTATGTGTAAATTTGTTGTCAGAAACATTTGTCGTTCATATCAAATTTATTTCATTTAACGAAAATTACGAGTTCCCCGAAATGCTAATATCCACGAGACCTTCACATGAGGGCATTATGCTAGAATGATTTGAACATTTTTTTTTTCTCTTTTTACTGCTAAATAATTTTCTAATTTTCACTATCGGATTTATCAAGTCCCTGTCTTTTCGTATTGTTCTAAAAGATTTGTTATGGTTTTCATCAAGTCAATGCTTTCTCATAGTGTTGTATATTTATATAAATGAGTACACTGCTGTATGTCTAACTGTATATATTTATGCCTTATATTATATTAAGTAGGCAACATTCGTCAATAAATTCCTGTAATTTCCGACACAAGAATACAATATTTAAACAAAAAATGACCATCATTCCATTAAAAATTCCTTCCTTAGTAAATCTTATGATCAACTTCTAAAAACTAAAACATTCATCTTAAAAAGTTAATTATCCCTTCAAAACATTTAATTTATATATAGAATCAATATGACCCCATAGTTATTCTTAAAAAACATTAATATGACCCAATAATCATTCACAATAATCATCAGCTGTGTATAATATGGCCCACTGGATAAATACATTAATATGACCTAAAAATCATTCACAATAATCTTCAGCTATATATTATATGGCACACTGGATAAATACATTAATATGATCCAAAAATCATTCACAATAATCTTCAGCTATATATTATATAACTGTTAGGGTAAAACACCTATATGACCCAATAATCATTCACATTAATCTTCAGCTGCATATTATATAAATGTTAGGGTAAAACACCTATATGACCCAATAATCATTCACAATAACCATATTTTAAAAGAACAGAAAAATGAAAATTTGGAATTAATTTGTCCTGTTTATATGCAGATACATCAAGTCTGTGCAGAGAGCGAAGTTAGCCAAATTTTGTGTTATTTTTGTTTATATTTATTCAGTAAAAATTAAATGTGTTAAAGGGACAATAACACTCTTGCTGGCTTGACAGCTCAAGTAAATAAATATTAGCCTTATTTTAAGTATTAGATGTTTAAGTGTCCTACCTATTGTGTAAATTATCCACTACATCCTATTTTATTTGTCCAGAGGGTTCGAAATTATTTTTAAATCCAAGTTACATTTGAAAAGGTTTATGTTAGGCTTTTCAAATCATTTAGTTGAATTTTTCCAATTTTTTAAATTAGGTGTGTTAAGATGAAATTTGTATCATCAATTAATTGGAATATTGTAAAATAGTACAATTTGTTGACCAGAATAAAGATTAGGACATATAATTCTGTTACAACAAGAGTGGTATTGAGCCTTTAAGGACCTAAAAAAACCATTGAATTTTGGACAATTTTATATGGAATAATCATTTTTCTGGAACTTTCAATTAAGGTAAAGACTAGCATCAATCAATATATAATATATTTAAATCAATATAGAATATATTTTTAAATCAATATAAATTAATTATTTCAATTAAATTAAGGCCTCGCTAGGCTATATATACTCCACATATATTCACAATCAAGTTTACTAATCTCATATTTAAGCTCTATAAAAATACATTATATGTTTTCAAAACAATGCTAATAATAAATTAAGGCCTCATAAGCTACATTTTGTCTTCATATTTATGATCATTTTCTCCTAATAAAGCTCACTCTAAAACAATAATACCATACTTATAATGAATATTTTATTCTCCCAAATCATTGATTACTAATTGACATTTTCATGGTGGCAGACTCTTCAGTGAAATGAGGTAGCAATAGTCATTATGCTACCATGACTGCAAAACGTTTTAGTGGCATCATATCTTAACATGGTGTCTAAAGTTATTTCACTTCATTTTAAAACTATATTGATATGCCTCACTTGGCTAAGTTTTATTATAGACAAACAGTATTTTATTAAACAGTAAATTTGCTAAATTGCTGACAGTTTGCTTGACACTTGTAAAATTACAACCTTAAAAGTTACTGACCATCAAACTATTCGTTTATCTTTAAATCATCACAAAAAAAACCATCACAATTAAACAACAATGAAAAATAGATCCACATGAACAATATCAAATATAGAGGTAATTAATGTCATTGAAATATAAATCAATTCATTCCGCTACAATAAAAATAAATCTTGGGTTTAGAGATTTTCAATCATAAATTCTAGAAATCAAATATTATGTATATATTACTAGTAAATAGAGACAGAATATTCTTTATGTAATGTAGGGTTTTAGCCGAACAAATAACATCAATAACATGGTCATCAATGAGAAAATATATTATATTAATACCAAACATCTAAAAAACAGATTACCAGTTATCAACAGTTCATGACACACATGATATGTCCATTGAAGGCCGACAAACGACAAACACTGTCTTCTCTAATATTCCACCATAGCGATCCCACAGTGCAACATTACCATAAAGTTATTAAAGAGATGTACAATGCATAACCGTATAAAGCAATACCCACAGTAAATTATTGATTTCAAAAACTTATGTAAGAATAGATCATCTGAATTTTTTTGGGGACCAGTATTAGAATTACAACCATCTCAAATATTTCTGTTTGTATCTGTATTTTGCATTAGGAGTCTGTTTTGGAAAATAAGACATGCCTTAACTAAGTAGTATACTAGCAACTCTAAATTGATTTCAGTTATTCCAGAAAAAGTTCAAAAACATTATGCAGATATAAGTTTTATGCTGATTTTGTTTTTTGAAATGGATAGATATTGGTGTAATAATATTGCTAGAATTTTTGCTCTTGAAATTAATGATGGCAGTATATTTCATTAATTAATATCTTTGGCAAGTTGGTAGATTTCCACATATGTGGAATTGTACTAAATCAACTTAGTCTGTAATTGATATATTGTTACATAAAAAGAGCTCTTAAACCAACACAGGTGTCAATAATTTACCACCAGAATTACACATGAGTGGAATTATTCTAATTGCATCATTTGGCATAAAGTAACCAATCATATCGTTAATTGCACAGGTTCAGGGCCATGAACAGGCTTTCTGTGCGTGATGTCCAGGAGTCTTATAAAATAAATCATAGTAAAGTTTTAAGTCAGACTTCTATTAGATTTCAGAGAGGTTCCATCTGAGTTCCTAGTCATCCGCGAGGCTGGCTAGGGTAGAGAAATGGTTTTAGCTAGTATTGTAATTTGTGCTATGCTTGTATCCATATGTATTCGGCTATAAAATGTAGAAGCAAACTGTTGCATTGTTATTCCTGGTAAAACAAACGTCTTAAGAAACTGTAAGAAGTAAATACACAACGTGAAGCAGAAGTAAAGACACCTAGAGACAAATTCTAGACGATCACAAAGCTACAGAAATATGTAGTAAGGAAAGATGCATGGGTTCTACGTAGGATGTGGCGACCGGTTCCCCTAATCCACTCTCCACATCAGACAAAAGACCTATGGTGCTACATTGGGGAACAAGAAAAGCTATATTTAGACTTGTTGAGGCCCTTAGCTACTCATATTATAAAGCTTGGAGAACCTTGTTAAAAAGTTACTCCAGATTCCAGAAGGTCTCTCAAAAGTGGGTACCAACACAGGACCTTGGATCACCATAAACAATATAGATGCCTTTTAATTACTTTATAGAAATTTAAGGAATTGTAAAAGTAAAACCATAAAAATTTGAGCTTATGTCTATATCCAGCACAGCCGCCACAGAGTGTATGTAATTGTGAAGCATCTTTCAGATAATGATGATTAATATAAAGCGAATACATAACAAGCTATATTGTAAACAAACACAAAATGGATTTCTGTTGATCAATACTGTTTTCTGTGTTATAAAATAGTGGGAAGATTTGTTCCTCGTCATTATGCTTCAGTCTGCAACAAGAAAAACAAAACATCAATAATAATACTACTGCATTCTGCACAGATTTTAATTTGTATGTTTTATTAGAGCTGGATATTGCAACTGTTGATAAGATGCCTACTTTACTTGTGATTTGAACCATAGAATTCAGTACAATTCATTGCAGAAATATGAAATAAAAATTTCAAGCCAGCTTAATGTTTTTTGTACCAACAACTTTCTGTGTGCTATCTATCCTTATCTTGTGAGTGGGATATGTTTTACTACCAACTGGATGAAAGTCTGTGGGCTACCTAACCTTATCTTGTGAGTGGGATATGTTTTACTACCAACTAGATGACAGTCTGTGTGCTATCTAACCATATCTTGTGAGTGGGATATGTTTTACTACCAACTAGATGAAACATTTTACTAGATTAGTAAATGGAAAAGTTTGTGTGTGCAGTCTTACCGTATCTTGTGAGTGAAGATTATTTGGTGCACTCTCTGAAGAAGTTCTGATATCTTGTAAAGCATCAAACAGAGTTAAATATAAACGATCCTCATTCTTCTTTATAAAATCAACTCTATCCAATGTGTCATACACAACAACTGAAATTAATACATGAAATTTATACAACTAATCCAATACTAAAGTACAAGAGAAACTGTTGTGTAAATAAATGTGAAGTGGTATACAATGTGGTAGAAAAAGTAAGAATACCCTGTCTTATACATGACCCTTATCATTATGTATAGCCAATTGGAGCAATAGTCCTGAGCTGAAATAATACAGGGCCCTTATTCACGAAAACTTAAACTAAGATACAATCGAAATTTTAAGAAATACTGCAATTCGATTGGCTGACCAATATGCAAATTGGATATATGCAAATTGATTTTACTGGTCAGCCAATCGAATTGCAGTATTTCTTAAAATTTCGACTGTATCTTAGTTTAAGTTTTCGTGAATAAGGGCCCAGGTTTTAACCTCCTAATTTTCTGCACCAACTGGACTAGTGAAGAAATGAAATTTGGCTTAATGTCCTACTTTTCTGCAAGGACTGGTCTAATGAAAACGGGCATACACCATGCAGTGTGTGCTATGAGGGAAATTTTGCTGCTCTACTGTCTACTCTTATTTTGAATTCCAACTGTCAAGGGTTCTCTTTATATCTCAATGAGTACACAAGACCTCGGTTTTCCATCCCATCCGAACGACTATACATTGTCCTTTGCCAGGCTCTACACAACTGACAAGGGGGAACCACGAAGGAAAAAAACAATGTATCAGGGAGCATACAGTTTAACTTTGAATGATGTAAACTGTTTATATTTCACTTCAACAAAGATGGACGTATGACATAAGTTGGGCTAAAAATTTAGGTTAGACACTATCTTCATGAATAGAAATGAGTTATCATTCCAACTTTGACAGACAGTTACCAGAAATTAAACAATATGAAATTTACCGAAAGTGTGAACTTTAAATGACTAGTAATGTTTTTCATTGTATTTTGTTTTTGCCTACAGCCTCTATTAATATATATATATATATATATATATATATATATATATATATATCTGATCAATAAAGTAACTTACCTGCTATATTTGTGATTAAAACTTTGATATCTATTTCATTTAATTCTGTTATAATCTGAATAAAGAAAACAAAATATTTTATTATTATAAGTTTTTATCAATCATACTGATATGATACATGTAGTTTAAACTTTAAGTGTAAAATAATTGTGAAATATTTGAAATTGAACCTATATTTGAACTTACTAATTTTAAAATGTTAAATATTTGTAATTAACTTACTATTTGTAAAATATTTGTAACTGAACTTATTAACTGTAAAATATTTGTAATTGAACTTATTAACTATTTTTATTTTGTAATTGAACTTAATAATCGTTCAATATTTGTAATTTAATTAACTTACTGACTGTAAAATATTTATAATTGAACTTACTAATTGTAAAGCGCTAGCACCCATTAAGTCTATAAAGCTGACACCACTGATATCTAAGATGACATATTTTGGAAGTGACATGTCAGTTTCAAGTGACAGCATGACGTCTTGTGTATCATCTATTTTATTTTCTGCCTCTAAGGGCTCAAGATCTTTTAACTCATTATCATTCTGAAACAAGAATTCACATAACTATAAACAAGCAGGTTTAAAGGGGTTGGTGAGGGCAACCTGAGGTTATTGTCTTGTCAACACATAACTTCGGTCAGAGGGATATATGAAAATATATGAAAAATATAATTCCTAAATAAATCAAATGAAATGGGGTCGGTTTAAAGTCCCACTGTTCTCCTCTGACTAGGCAATTGAAGACAGGTATATGCCATACAATGTGCTAGGAGGGAAATTTTGCCCGGACAGCAATCACTACGGCCTACTCTTATACCGAATTCCAACTTCCAAGAGTTCTTTTACGTGCACGCCAATGTGAACACTAGATCTCGTTTTTTTGTCCCATATACGTTGTACCTTGCCAGGCCCTCTGTCCTGCGCCACTATAAAATCCTAAAGAACTTTCTCTGCCATCACAGGAATCGAACACAGTACCTCCAGGTTAGCGAGCCGTCTTATTCACTGAGCCACCTAGTCTCTATAATGCCTAAATTTGAGGAGAAAGATAGGTTGCCAGGCATCAAAACATACAGCAGCTAAGTCGTCTGAACCAGTTCATAAAGGTTGTCTGATTTTATGCTTTTTTTCGGTAATGGAAGCATTTACAAGAAACTAACAAACTTAGGAAAGAATTTTTTATAATCAACATCAAGTAGATTATCAAGCTGATGTTGATGTAAAAAAAAAATAATTCCTAATTTTGATTGTAGAAAAAGGGAGTTTTGGGTTATAGCATTAGCGGGACGAGGGAGACAACAATATACAACCACATTATGATCTATGAGTGGGGTGCAGAAAAGGTGAATCAAGCTAGTTTTGTTTTCTCATCATGTCACATATTCTTCACCATGATGGTGTCCAAGTAAACTAATCGGCAGGTTGGTCATTTTGAAACTTACATAAGACAATTTTGAATGGACAGTGGCATTTTGGTCTACTCATCTTTGATCTCCAACTATTAAGGGCTATTTTACATGCATGCCAGTGTATACACGGGTTGAAATCAATTAAGACTAACTTCCAGCATATGATTAGATATCTTGAATCATCATCAGAAATGACTCAGTCAAGTTATCATATAATAAAGGCTAGTTAAGTTTCCAAGTTAAAATCGTGGACCATACTCAAGATGGACAGACAGCATCTTTATGGTTTTACATGTACCATAACAAAAAAAGCTATCTAATTGCCTTCTCTTGTGTTAACTTTAATTACACAACATACGCAATCCATTGGTGATCTGAAGGGTGGCATCTCTTCTTTAGTAACATTTGTCTGGACTCCTTTTGTCATGGCACATCTAAAACCATGAGGATGTTTTGTGGCCATCGTAAATACAGACCATAGTTAAAAAAATATGACAATAAATGAAAAAAAACCTTTCAAATGAACAAATTACTTACATGATTAGAGTTATTCGCATTTTTTTCACTTTTTATTAATTTGGCTTTTTGTTTTTGTACTTTGATAATGTTTATGTCAATGTTTTTGAAAACTTTCTGGACGAAAATATCGGAATTGGCAAAGCACAAGGGTTTGTTGATGTGTAAAATTTTAATATCGGAAGACAGGTCAACCTGAAAAAGAAAAGACATTTCATGAAAAAGTTATTAGCTGTGCCATAATGAAGGTGTATTTGCCACCATCTGAAAGATAATTTCAGTTGTATAGTGGACAGATAGTACATATTTTCAATAACCTGTTTTGATTGTGGAAACATGTTGTGAGGTCATAAATAGAAAGTACTGGAGATGGTAACCTAAATTGTTACACAGACCAGTGATGGGATTTTGCCCATATATTCCGGACTTGTCCGAATCTTTTTTCCAAACGCCCAAAATTGTCCGACCGGGAATATGCCCAATCGGACATCAAGACATGGTGAATAATATTCAAAATTCCGAAATTAATATAGTTTACTGAGTGTATAACTACCACTCAACCCGATTATCGTCGATAATATGCTGGGTTTATTAGGTAATTAAGTGATCAACGTATTTATCGTGTTATACTGTCTATAGTATAAACCTACCTTGATTTAACTACTTAATCTGCCTTGATTGACTGACTTAATCCTTTGTCGGACAATTCATCAATCTAATCTTAAACAGAAGTCATTGCTTTCCTTTTGTCGGACTATTCATCAATTCAATAAGAATGATTATAAACCTCGTGGTTTCTCATTTGTCGGGCATCTTAATCGCATTGATGTGAGCCGACATCATCTATAATAAACTAATCATAGATGTCACATATCGTAAGAGTAAATAACACCCTAAATCAATGGACAGTCATTTTGTCTACGATATCTTTTACATCTTTTAAGAATCCATATAGAAATTCTCATCCACAGTGGCACTTTCCCTTGATCTCGAGCGCGGCACGAATATTGCTTAAAGGAGCTAAATCGCTAACATTTGGGACCTAGAAATTCACAAAAGTTGGTCGCAACGCATATAATACTGTAATATGAATGTATATAAACTGATTTACATTTAATGGTTTCCGTTTTTACTCCAATTTCAAATCAGTTATGTTCGGGCGAAATAAGTCAGCAATCTCAATCGAGTGCAAATTTCTAGCGTCTAGTTATTCTAGTCTACATAACTCCATTTGATTTGGTGCAATGTGTCTAGCCTCGTCCCCCGAGTCTCTCTATACAACTGGAGCTGAAGCGCATTGTGGTACGAATTCGTCTGCTTAAATAACGATAAGAGTTATGCCCCTTTATTTTTGGTAAAATGTCCGACAAGTAAAATTTTGAAATTCCATCACTGACACAGACAGAGATCGTCCATTAGACCAAAACATGCTGCATTAAAAAGTATAACCAGCGCCTGCCAGGCAGGATATGCCCACATTTTCGAGAGATGGATAGAGAACAAGCTAAAAAGAAAGTGATTTTTCCTACAATCAAGGGCCATAATTCAGGAAATTACAATTCGATATGCGCAAATATCGAAAGGAACCAAGATCTTTGTGTTATAAACTTACAAATAAAAATTGTGACCTTTATAGGGTCCACAACCTTGATATACTATATTTTTAGACTATTTGAGAATGAAGGGTAGCCATTTTGTCCGTTAGTTTTGGGCCGATTTTCATGAAATTCGAACTCTGCCGTCCTTAGGGAGTAACGGTGATATAATAATACGTTTTTTTAAATCGGATAAAAATTATGACCTCTATAGAGTCCACAAGCTAAAAACGTACAATTTTTCGTACAATCAGGGGCCATAATTCAGAAAGTTACGGTCTGATATGCGCGAATATTTAAAGGAACCAAGATCTTTGGGTTATAAACTTACATTTCAAGTTTCAACAAAATTGGATAAAAATTGTGACCTCTATAGGGTCCACACAAGCTAAAAACGTGATTTTTCGTACAATCAGGGGCCATAATCCATAAAGTTTTAATCCGATACATGCCAATATCGAAAGCAGCCGAGATCTTTTGGGGATAAACCTATATTTCAAGTTTCGTCAAAATCGGATAAGAATTGTGACCTGTAGAGAGTCCACAAACAATTGTGGACAGACGGACGGACGGGGGCGACGGCATAATACGTCCACATGAAAATGTGGGCGTATAATAAAAAGCTTATAATTTGTTATTGTATCATTGCTTGATATAGACTAGAGAATCAAGGTTGAAACATCACTCAATATTAATCAGTCTATTTCCAATTATCAAATAATACAGCAATTACAATACTCACTGTTAGAAAGCAGCAAATAAAACGAAAGTATAGGGCAGATTTCAACTACACAAACGTTTTGAGTTACAGAGAGATTTGGCCAAACACATGGTGATTGCCAGCCAAAACAGCTCATCAAAAACTAAATGTTGGTATTTCTTTGACAGTGTTGATTGGGACTAGAATAAAGGGATTTCCAAGAGCCTTCCACACAGAATTAACTGGTTTTAGTCACTAGAATATATCTAGGATAAATACTTACACTATGATACAAAGATGGTGTTCGTGTTTCTTGTGTTCCATCTACAACACCTTTTAATGTTACTGGTGATCTGAAAATATACAGTAGACTGAGTACACATGAGGGCTTTAATATAACATTGAGAAGGCAGGCAATAAGGCACCTCTCACCCATATTGTCATTCACAAATTCAGCCTTTATCAGGAAGAGTTCTTCTGAAGTCTGTCATATTATCTGGAGCACATTTCGTTTTTCTTTTTTATCGGTGTTTTTATAAGGAACTATTTGATCATGTATTACTCATCATGCTGTGTACCATTAATTTGGCCATGGTGTATGCGGACTTCAGATAAAGAAAATCTGAGCAATGTCATTTAGCTCTTGAGGTGAGTATACTTACTGAATGAAGAGGCAAGCCTCCGTCTTATCTATTGACCAATAACATGTGAATAATAACTTAAAGCTACTTACTGTTGTGTGATGATGATAATAAGTAGAAAAGAGACCGCAATTCCTGCTAACAAACCTGGTATAACATCAACAAATACTGATACACTAAACGTCACAACCCAAACTATCTGTAATAATAACCCACAATATTTGTAATAGTAATAATATTATATTTCATATATACAACTAAATGTAAACATAACAAACCATACTTTATGAAATACATATTGACCTATCAAACAATTTGTTTGAAGTATCTACTTCAACCTTATTTTTCTGTCCTACCTACATTTCATTGTTGATTATCAGTAGTCAGGTTTTACCCATGTCCAGGTTTAATTAAAATTATATCATTAATGACTGATAGAGGTCTGCCCTGATTGATGTGGAAAATATTCTAGTCCTGCTAGACATGTGTCAGGGCTTAGCAGAAAAGGCAATTTAAGGTTAGCTGGGAAGTTGGTAACTTCTCTACCTTCTTTAATCATTCACATATATCTCTAAAGTTGAAAATATGTTATTTTCTAATACTCAGACAGTTGTAATTAAGCATCTTTAAGCATTGAAAACACTTATAACAAATGCACTGGCTTGTACAATAAAGATAGAAGAATTATCATTACCATATATGTCCAAGACAGATAAAGATGGTGGCATGAAATCAATAAAAACCAACATAATCTTTAAATGACCATAGTCTCAGTTAGAATTGATTGATTTGGTTAATTTACTTTTGATCAAAATGATTTCTAATAAAAGTACTTTTGATTGTATATGGTCTTAAAGTCTATATTTAACCTGTATCTAACCAATATTGATTTCAAACACAGAAAACATAAAAATAACTTACAAAATCAGACTTTGATTGTTTTCTAAGTGGATTAAGTTGTGTTAACTTCCAGAACATCCCACGTAAATTTACAACAATAATCGCTGCTAGAACGCACTGTAATAAAATATTTTAAACAACTATTGTATATTATTCAAAAAAAGTAGGGGATATTTGATTTTGGGGGCATAATACTAAAATATGCAAATGACTACGAAAAAAGTCACTATAGAACCTAACAGAAGAAACATTTCCAGTTACATGTGACGCCCAAACGCACCAATAGCTACCGCATGGAATGCAGGTGATGCTTGGGATCATCATGGGGGTCCAACCCAAGATTTGCACGACTCTGACTTTGAATGTTACAGTCATTGTGGCATTGAATTCCAGGGTGGAAACATCAGTTTAATTGTTTTAGTGACCAGAAAACAAATTTTGATATGCGTCGGCTTACCCAAAATGAAAGGTTACGTGCCCTTGGCATGCTACAGATCGGCACAACACAGGCGGTTGTGGCGCGGACGATGAATGTTTCTCAGTCTGTCATAAGCAGGCTATGGTCCAGATACCGTGATACACAATCTGTACAGGACAGACCACGCTCAGGTCGACCAAGGGCGACAACTCAAGCCCAGGATCGATTTATCCGTACCTTGGCCTTGAGAAATCGTGTCATCACAGCAAATCAGATCAGCGCTCGCCTTCAAACAGACACTGGTGTGAGAGTGAGTGGCCAGACAATTCGGAATCGACTGCATAGGGGTCACCTTCGCGCCCGACGTCCTCGCGTGATCCCTTGTTTGAGAGATCATCACATTCAGGCAAGACGTCGTTGGTGTAGGGATCGTCAACACTGGGATAATCGACGCTGGAGCAATGTGATGTTTTCAGATGAGTCAAGGTTCACTGTTGATTTTTTGGACAGACGTAGGAGGGTGTGGCGTCGTCGAAACGAGCGCTTCCAAGACGTTAACGTCATCAGACATGATCGATTTGGGGGTGGTTCTGTTATGGTGTGGGGAGGCATCACTGTTGCTGGAAGAACGGCTTTACATGTTGTTGCAGGGCGTGTTACAGGCCAGTACTACCGGGACAACATCTTGGCAGTCCATGTTGTGCCATTCGCACGACGTCATGGCCGCCATTTCATCTTCCAGGATGACAACGCAAGATGTCACAGGGCCAGGATCGTTACAGGTTACCTCCAACAACAGAACATCACCACATTACCTTGGCCAGCACTGAGTCCCGACCTCTCCCCCATCGAGCATGTCTGGGACATGCTTGGACAGAGGTTACGTCAACGTCAACAACGTCCTGCCAATGTCCAAGAACTTGCTGCTGCGTTGCAACAGGAATGGGACAATCTGGACCAAAATGACCTTAGACGTCTCATTAGGAGTATGCCACGTCGGATCAATGCTTGTTTGGCAAACAGAGGAGGATTTACCCGTTACTGACTTGGTTGTGATGCTGTGGTAACTTTGCTGTTTGACCCCGGGTATCATTTTACCCTTATAATGGTCAGTCTGTGCCTTACTTAGTCTAACGATCATTTGGAATAAATCGATGAATGTGAACTTCATTTCATTTTGTCATTTGTTTCTTCGTCAGTTTCATTAGGTGACTTTAATAACACTTAAAAATCAAATATCCCCTACTTTTTGTGAATAGTATATATGATGTGTTTGAGTGAATCTTTTCTGGGTTATAATATTAATTAGTTTTCATGTACATTTTGATAACCATCATGGTTAAACCATGGGTAACGGATTTGAAAATTATATTTACGGCAAAATTTACCGTAATCGGTTTCACCTACCATTGTATTTACCATGACAATTTACCATATTGATTATGCAACTCTTCCGACTTGCTCGCCAGCTGGGTTGGCAATTCGATTTCCAAAGTGATGTGCTCTACAAATTATCTGACGTGCATGACTTGAGTTAATTTTCTCTTGAATTCCATGTTAAGATATAAAAAATATGAATGTGGACATTTCTAACAGGGGCTCCCTGTCCACGGGACATTTAGGAACTGTCAACGGATGCAACTTCTCGTTTTATATGTCTGTATAAATTATAATATTTCACAACGAATCCTACGTCGCCTAGGCCTAAGTAAGTAACTTTAAGTAGTAGTAGTAGTGGTATGCAGGCCAACATTAAACAGATCATGTAATAAATCTATAACTGTACCTGTATATTTGAATGATGAAATAGCATTTGCCGAATATTATAAATAAATATTTATAGAGGCATTCATACTGTGGCCTGTTTAAAGTGAGAAATTCAACAAGTCTCTGGCTAATAGTTTATTCATGTTGTTGTCATTTTGCAAAGCATCGCGTCATGGGATGCCTGCGAATATGCTTTGATCGAATATGCTTTGATCGTATGAGTGATTTTGATATATATACAAAAGAGGAGATTATACTTACTAGAGGTAAGTAGTAGAAATATGGAGCTAAAACAACAATAACTAATAATACTATACTGCATGCTATTAACGACGTCACCTGAAATATATAAAACAGATAGGTTATTAAAATTTGATGTCCCCAACAGGCAACAAAATGTGGCCTGATTAAAGAAAACTTAAACCAAAATATGTTTAGGATAACAATGATTAAAAGTTCAAATCCTAATACAAATCTTAGCTCTTTACCAATAAATGGGAAGAAATTCTTAAAATAGTTTGGTTTAAGTTTTTGTGAGGTAGAAGGCCATCAACAATTTCATTATTTAAATGTGACAAAATTAAGGAGTGAAAAGTAATTTAGACGATTAAAACAAAAAGTTTAAGTAAGATGCCAGTTTGTGAATAGAAATATCTTTTACATGTAGACGTCGACAAGACGATCATAGGAATTCTAAAACAGATTACCTGAGTTTTTCCACCTGCTCCATTAACAACAACAGTTCTTGACACAGAAGCTGCCGTTATATAACCCGAAAATAACGAACACACAACATTAGCTCCACCACATGCAAACATTTCCTACAGAAATAAATCAACAGAAACTGTGTTCTGAATCTCTAAATAATAACATTGCTTTCACCATGATAAATAACATTACAGCCAACAAATTAGTCTTTTATCAGGGTTTCTAATGATATCTTTAATACAAATCTGGTACAAAGTACAAAATGTCAGGTACAATTAAAATCATTATTTTATTTCCAGGTAAGCTTAACCAGAGATATAAAATAAACGAACCTGATCGGGGTCGATCTCATATTTATGTAATAAACCAAAAGTTTTAGCTAAAGCTACTGTCTGGGCATAGGAGACTACAGCTATTAATATACCATCAGCTAAATAATCTGTAGCTAGAGTTACGTCTGGTAGTTTAGGACTAGGTATTCTAAAAATAGAAAAGATAATTTAAATAACTGTCCACAACCAGCTGTGCACCCACAATGAATGTGGACAGATATTTTCATCAGAATATTACGATTTCAGCTGAAGCATGAAGATTTAATATGCTTGGGCCTGCAGGCCTAGAAATTTGTCATTTTTTGCGAGAATCTAAGCGGATTCTCATATATGGAATCCTCCGAATCTTAATTAATAATATTGTCTAAAAAAACAAAATTGTGTTTATTGTGTTAATCTAAAACACCAAAATACAACAACAATGATAAAGATAGGTTGCCAGGCAACAAAACATACGCCCACAGCAGCTATATCGTCCGGGCAGTCAACAAGAGTTGTCGCATATTTTTACTTTTTTCGGTAATGAAACATTTATAATACATTAAAATCTGATTAAGAGTAACAACTCATTAAGTAATTATCAGAAAACCATTAGAATTTGTTCGGTTTTTATAAAGTTCTGCGCCATGCTAACGTTTAACATACGAAACTTTTAACATCATGGATTTAGCTGTTCAAGTCATAAAGATTCATTGAAAATCAATATACTTGTTCGTCTCAAGACCTTAAACACTGTGTATAAATTTAAAGTCAATCGGATATTAACGTTAGCCTCTAGAGCTTCCACAAGATTTTTCAAGGTGATCAAGGGCCATAACTCTGGCAAAAATTATCAGAAATCGCTGAAAATCAATAGGATTCTTCGTCTCATGACCTTAAACACTGTGTATAAATTTAAAGTCAATCGGATATTAACTTTACCCCCTAGAGCGTCCACAAGATTTTTCGAAGTGATCAAGGGCCATAACTCTAGCTGTAATTATCGGAAATCGCTGAAAATCAATAGGATTCTTCGTCTCATGACCTTAAACACTGTGTATAAATTTAAAGTCAATCGGATATTTACTTTACCCTTTAGAGCGTCCATAAGATTTTTCGAAGTGATCAAGGGCCATAACTCTGGCAGTAACTATCGAAAATTGTTGAAAATCAATAGGCTTCTTCGTCTCATGACCTTAAACACTGTGTATAAATTTAAAGTCGATCGGATATTAACTTTGACCTTTAGAGTGTCCACAAGATTTTTCAAAGTGATCAAGGGCCATAACTCGGGAAGTAATTATCGAAAATCGCTGAAAATGATTAGACTTCTTCGTCTCATGACCTTAAACACTGTGTATAAATTTAAAGTCAATCAGATATTAAATTTACCCTCTAGAGCGTCCACAAGATTTTTTGAACTGATCAACGGCCATAACTCTGGCAGTAATTATCGGAAATCACGGAAAATCATTAGGATTCTTCATCTCATGACCTTAAACACTGTGTATAAATTTAAAGTCAATCGGATATTAACTTTAGCCTCTAGAGCGTCCACAAGATTTTTTGAAGTGATCAAGGGCCATAACTCTGGCAGTTATCGGAAATTGCTGAAAATCAATAGGCTTCTTCGCCTCATGACGTTAAACACTGTGTATAAATTTAAAGTCAACCGAATATTAACTTTAGCCTCTAGAGCGTCCACAAGATTTTTTGAGGGATCAAGGGCCATAACTCTGGCAGTAATTATCGGAAAAACGCCGAAAATCAATAGGCTTCTTCATCTCATGGCCTTAAACACTGTATATAAATTTAAAGTCAATCTGATATTAACTTTAGCCTCTAGAGCGTCCACAAGCAATTGAGGACGCCGGACCGACGGACGGACGGGGGCGACGACAATATACGACCACATTTCAATGTGGGCGTATAAAAATAAAACAATCAGATGGAGTTTTTGGTAAACACTTAAATTGTGTCAAAAATAATATCCAGAAAATGCCGTAGTCAAAATAAGCTGATACAGCACCATGGCATTTCTTAATAGCACAATTTGTAGTCTTTTGTTCATCACATAACTAGTCATGTAACGTGCAAAAGTTTTTATTCATCGTCGATGATAGACAAACAACACAATGATCACGTGACAACCATAACTGAAATTGCTATAAAATAAAATTTTGTACGACTATGATATAGCCTTCAATAATATTTTTAAAATTAAGTCTCTGTCAGCATGTATATAAAATAAGAAATCATAACGGTAAACACTATTTAGAACTGGTTTATTGACTTAATTCCAACCGATATGTCACGTGTCATTGGAATTCGGCATTCAAGATTTTGTTTGGAAAATATCCACGGTTTCTTTCCCTGTGTATTCGGTGTTCTATCAGGGGATTATATTCAATGAAGATTTAAATTTACCTAACAACTGGTCAGTGAATCAATCAATGTATGATCCAGTCATTATTTTAATATCTACCAGTACCTGGAATTCACATGGACGGAGCATGAAAGATGCGCGATTCCCATACCATGCTGAGAACGTCTTCATTCACCATGTGGCGTATTTTACTGAACCTAACGTCACTAGCGTTTTGTAACATTCCAGTGTTTTAAATAATGTGCAAAACCATTTTTAGGGCAAGTCTATATTTTCAACTTTGAGTGAAGATGTAACAATGAATTATGAATGTAAAGCGTAAAGTGTATATGGTAGACACTGGCTTTAAGTGCATACCACTATTACATGGTTGTTTTATGTGCTCTATAAACAAATCTTTTTACTGACACCATGAAAAACTTATGTAAATAATTGTCTTACCCTTTAGGTATATATTCTACAATTTTTACTTGATAGTTGGAATTTAATTCCAGAAAATATGATGCAACCGTTCCAAATATAACCTGAAATACAAAAGAACAAAGAAATTTATTAGCCATGGGAACTTTCCAGGCAAAACAGAAGTGTCATCAGATGTTCTAGAAAAATAAGTTTGGGATTAATGGGAATGCATGTTATTTTGGTATGTTTCTCTGATAAAGCATGTACACTATTACACTCGATCATGTCACTTTGTATTTATGGACTGTGAATTTGAACACTCTTTAAAAGGCATTACCAATCTCACCAATAAAATATAAAGAATATCATGTTCAAAATAAAATGAAGGACTCCCCTATTTATCAAAAATCCAAGCACCGATCTCTACATGAGTGTTCATTAAACTCCTTGAAATCTACTAAAATATTCCTACCAATAGTAAAAAGTTGAGGAGGCAGATCTCAGCAGATGCAAAAAGAAGCTTATACTGGTTGAGAGTGTGAGTGAGTGAACATTTCATGACTAATATATGGTATACATTTATTCCAATAATTTGTCTGCAAGCAAAGATTTTTAGACATGGGATAAGAAAACCTGTAAGTTAATCAGGTGACCCTACTCCTTGCCACATTAAAACAGCAGATTAAAAACCTGATTTGCAATGAAAATGAGCCTTAAGATCTAAAGTCCACATTTTAGATCACTAGGCCACCCAACCCACTGGCAAAATATCAAAAAAGATATCTAATTGTGGGATCAAGTTTGATGAAATATTTACCATGATTAATTCTATTGGTATTGGTATCTTCATCTTCTTTTTAAATCTGTCGTTGATTTGAGCTTTTACCAGGTAGATTATTATAATACAGATAAACCATGTTATTAACGTTGCTACGTTAGCCTCGGGAAGATGAACACAGACCTCATACCATGTCTGAAAAATAAAAATACAAACTCACACCACATCTGAAAATTAAAACAATTACAAAGTATAGATTTATCATGATATAAAAAGAATCAGATTGGTAGTCTTTCCATAGATTTAACTATGTTCGAACATTTCCACCCGGAAGATTCAGTGGAACTTTTTTGAGTGACTGCGGAATCTTAACCTATTCAATTGCCAAATAATTTCTACAAAATGTGAAATCTTACCTTTGGCAGTTTAAATAAACCTGATTTCCTCTCCAACTTTAAGCCAAGACCATTTTTCAGCTGACTTGTGAACACATGTATAGAAACACCCACAGTAAAACTAGTTATCAGAGAGTTGGACATAAAACATGTCACAAACCCTAGTCCTAACTTTGACAATAAAATCTGAAATATACAATATTTAACATGGTTGATTTGCAATATTTTAGTACCTGGATAGAGCAATAACACTTAATACATACAATGAAAATTAGTAGCTGTTTTCCATATGCTTATGTAGGTTGGTTTGGATAACACATTAATTAATAGTCTCAGAGCTCTTCTGTACACGTCACAAATAAACAAATAATAAATAGACCGAAAAAATAAAAGGAACACTTCAGAAATCAACCTATTAACACTTTTGCTAACATGCAGTGGTTGTTTCCAAAAAAGGGAAGCCGAGTTGAAAAAGTCTTCTCTAAATTCTAAGAATTATAACCCTCTTTCTCTCCTATAGTAATCCAGGAGTTCAGATAATATGTAATTTTGCACGACCGAAACCATGCTAAATTATACACAAATTGATTATTTAACATTGAATTAAGAAAACATAGCTATAATATCAACATAGTTTCTTTTATCTCTTCTCCTTTGCATTCTAACCGCCATGGTTATTTTACGGGCATGACAAGTTGTTTTCGACAATAATTGACAAGGGGGAACTAAGCTGTAAATCTTGCAGAATGGTAGCAAAATTTACTTATGTTTAGTAAGCCAGTGAGAAAAAGGAAAATTTACAACAAAGAAATCTACAGATTCAATTCTAATGATAAAAATTATAACTAATGATTAGTAAGCCAGTGAGAAAAAAGAGAATTTACAACAAAGAAATCTACAGGGTCAATTCTAATAATAAAAAAACAATAAACGTACGGTTATCATACCAACAACAAAAGTAACGGCAGCCGCCACTTCAATTCTCTTAGCCTGGATATCAGGTGATATGTCGTCAGTAAACAGAGAGGTCATATTGTCTGTTGCGTAAACAGTTGATGAAGCGGCAGCTATTTTTGTATTCTCGTCATACAGATCTAAAATATCAGCCATCATTAAACTCAAGACCGCTATACAACCTGTAAAATAAAATTCTGGGACTAATATGTTGTTCTGATACAATACATAAGTCAATGTTGATATGCATACACCAGAATAGGCCCATCTGTCACAATGGAAATTAGTATTTACAAGATATTAAGTGTCTAGTGTGTGACTGGGGGGATTATGTTTGGTGATTTTTTTACAAAAAGAGCGCCTCCTTTTTACCCCCACGGTATAACTTGAGATCCATGTTGACCTTCACTATTCCAGGGATTCTTTCACTCACTACTAACACATTACTAAGGAGTTTATTCGTTGAAGTCTTGAAATTATGTTAAGATTTTAGTGAACAAGCCACTGAAATTCATTTCAATAAAGTATGCATGTATTTAACTTGAATCGTGCTACTTTTTTACACAAATCAGGCTAATAAAGATGGACATATGCCATGAAGTGTGCTATGAGGAACATTTTACCCCCAGACAGTAGTGTTTTACCTAACTATTAATCCAATTCCGACTGTCAACATACCATATTGTTTCATCCCATTCAAACATGTTGAAGCTGTTCTTTACCAGGCCCCCGTTTCCTACACTACTGCCAAAGATAAACTGCACTGGAAATTCCTGAGGAACTTCCTCCACCAACTCCGTGGTCGAACCCGGACCTCCCTGCTATAGTGAGCCAGTGCCTTATAACCGAGACACCATGTTTTTGGAGCATATTTATTGGTTATTCCTATGACATCTATTAAATGTCATAGTAAAATCGCAAACACTCAAGTTAATGAGCAGTTTATTACGGACTCTCAGGGTGGGCTAAAGTTTACTGTGGCCATAAGTTCAGAAATCTACATGTAGTAGTATTTACTGGTGATGCTGCAAGAAGGACTGATTCAACCTGCTACCATTAACACTTGGAACAACATCATTATCACCTGTTACAGTGTAACGTCTACCAGACTGTAGATTAAACCCCTTGCTGTTATATCACTTACTATACCTGACTCCACTTCATACTGTAGATAACAGTAAGATGTTCCCCATTGACAAAACAGTTGACAATCTATGTAAAAACAGAATGATTTATAGTAGCTGATTATAGCTTATCTATACTTACCCATAGAGATCTGTCGACAAGTACCAAGGAAGAAGTAAGTTAATGGTGCAAACAGTGATATATATAACCCAACTATAGGGGGCAGTGTTGATAATGCACCAAATGCCATTCCTACAAAACAAAACCTTAATTTTAATCCCCTCACTGTCAAAGGGACGACAAAACAATTTTTAAAATTACATGAGAAAATGTGCGATTTGAAACACAATCCACAGAAATAATTGAAAAAAAAAATGATTTGGTGGGTTTAGGGTTGTCATAATGAATATTTAATTAACTTTCTGTACAATTTGTACCCATACTAGTATTACTACAACCAATAGTGAAATTCTAAAGTTGAGCAGACACTTGTGACCACCGCTTTGCTCTAAAAATAATAAACCCAGTTCACAATATTTTTGTCATAGTGCCAATATGAATATGATATTCATTACATTTATTTTCTTGTTGAAAGTTCTTATTCCTCTTTAAATATACAAAGTGTCTACTTTCATGAAATGGTGACGCCTTATTTACCTTGTGGAATCATCATAGCTCCAGCAGTTGATCCAGCAATTAAATCAGGAACAATATCGCTTCGTTTATAATTGCGTATCATCGTTATAAAGGGGAGATTACTCAATAATATCTTCTTAGCACTAGTTTGTTCGTATTTACGTCGAGTCCATGTCTTTAACCTGTCACAAATACTGATTTCTTCCGGATCTTTCCTGTATTCCTTTTCAAAATCCACCAATCTACGGTGATGGGACACCATCTTGTCTTTGTCTGCACTCAAGTTTGGTTTTGTCTGAAAATAAAATTTGAAATATATATTAACAGGTGGGCTAAATCTCTTTTGTTTTTGTCAAAATAAAGTGTTGACTTTGTTTGATCCACTCTCTTATTTCCATTACCAGTAGTGATAGAGTACTGTAAACCCTATATTGTCTCATGAACAAAACCAGTTTGCCTATTAGTATTACTGGTGTTTAAATTGAAAAGTCAATAATCATTTTGCTTAACAGAAATGAATGAAAACCATTATTTAGATACAATTATTTAGATACAATTATTTAGATACAATTATTTAGATACAATGTAATAATTTAAGACTTAAACCAGGGGTAGATTTGTCACACAAAAATTAGCACACATTTTTTATTGCGTCTGACAATGTGTGTGACAGATGCCTTATGTCCACCCTTGATATATACTGTATGTTGTGTCATAATTTGTACTTGACAAACGTGCATTCATCAGACTGCTAAAGACTCTGAAGTAGATCATAAGGTCTGTCATTGACTTACATTGTGTGGTTTCGATCCCAAGTTAGTATAAATCAACCTTGGTTCCTCCCATTGCTCAAGACCCCAGCATGTATTGTAAGCTAATAATTGAAATAACGATACTATTTGTAAGTCCCAAATTGAACATGTTAGTGTTGAGTGAATATTATACTCTATTGTTGTGGTTTTATCTTTACCTTAACATCACACATTTCACTTGTTTCAATATTTTCATTTATATCGTTTTCAGTGTCAACATTATTTATTGATTGTTTAACTTTAATGGCTTCATCAACCTGAATTTTGTTAGAAACATCTGCTGTAGTTTGAACTTCAAAAGACGCAATAATAGGTTCCTCATTTGAACAATCCATATTTGTATGCTCCAAATGTCTATCGTATGAAGAATCCAAATCAATATTCTCCAAAGGTGCATTGTTTGAATCATTTAGTTCGATATCATCTGTTGCAAATTCATTGTTTACATAATATTCATCTGTTTGTGATTCAACTTCTGCCTTAAATTCATCACCTGTTCCTGTTTCAATTCCATCTTCAATTCCCTCGGTTTCAATCTCAATGCTGTCACTGTTTTTACTTTCAATGCCTTCGTCCTCCTTACTCTCAATTCCATCATCTGTTTTACCTTTAATCCCATCTTCCTTTCCATTGCAAGTTCCATCCACATTAATTTTATTTCCATCATCAACATCAACGGTTTCATCTACAATTCCCACATTCAATTTACTTAATCCATTATTTAATTCTCTTTTGATTTCAGAATCTGTTTCTGCTTTAACTTCAAATCCATCATCTTTTCCAGAAGAAATTTTAGTTGTGTCATCTTTCTTAGCTGAATCTGATTCTTTTTCTTCGTCACCCATTTTTCAACAAAATTTCACAGCACACCAAGTTCACATAGTAAATTTACGCATATGTTCTGTTCTACAAAATGAAAGATGTAGATAACACGAATACCTTGGACATGACTTCCCTTAATCTCTTTATATAAGAAAACTCTGCAGTATAGTACATGTACTTAAACGGTCATTTCAAATAGTGAGTTTTCATTCTCAAATTATATCATGTTTCCCACCAGAATTTGCTTTCAGTCAGATATTTCTGATGAAACAATAGTGCTATCAAGTGAACTATACGATATAACATTGGTAAATGGTCATTTGGAGATCATGATGCCCCAGAGAATGTATTTAGTGATAGTATAGTTAATAATGAAGTATATCATATCAAAGCAAATTTATTGACTGAGGAGCTTGTCTGTCATAATGTGACCATTAAAATTTACTCAAATTATAGTTACATGTTTAGTCCTCTGCAAGTCCTATAGTTTATATGTAAACAGTGAAGTCAAACTTGGTCCAGGCTGTGGACCACTAAGTTCTAGTGTTAGGATCATCAATTCTCTTAATGTTTTAGATGGGATGAGAGAATAAGAATTGGGGTTTAAAACATCCATTCAACAATAACCAGGTCAATTTTAGACTAATGTATTATGATATATTTTTTATTTCAATCATTTGCTTGCGTCCTAGGGATTTAAAGAGTGGGAGGAAACCGGACTACCTAGAGAAAACCCACTGTGGTGTCACATACAAAACCGGGCTACCCAGAGAAAACCTCACAAAGTTATGCACACTCATTGTGGTGTCACATACAAAACCAGGCTACCCAAAGAAAACCTCACAAAGTTATGCAAACCCACTGTGGTGTCACATACCAAAGCAGACTACCTAGAGAAAACCTCATAAAGTTATGCAAACCGACTGTGGTGTCACATACAAAACCGACCTATCTAGAGAAAACCCCACAATGTTATACAAACTCACTGTGGTGCCACATACAAAACTGGGCTACCTAGAGAAAACCCCACAAAGTTAAACATGCAAACCCATTGTGTGTCACATACAAAATCGGGATTGAACTCATGACTTGCATAGATAACAGGTCTTATGAATACACTGCAAGTCATCTACCAAACCCCCTGGAGGAAATATCAAGGTTTTTTATACCAGAAGATTGCACCCTACAGTTTTATGTTTTCTGTATCAAGGTACTTTATATAGATATATCAGTCAATGAGCTAAATGTCCCTTTAGAAAAAGATTGAACACATACAGTATGATAATGCATTTTATTTCATAAACTCTTGCTCTATCTTAATCCAATTAATTATTCATTATCATGATTTAATCTACATATACAAAGAACTCTGTCTTAAAATATCTTGAAATTATCTATAGACTACATGTATGGGAAAGGTGAAGCATAGACCTTAAAACTTCTGTAAGTGTACAGCAAACTATTTGGGCAAGGTGAGTACTAGCCCAACATTATAACATGTGAACAAAGGTAAAACATGGTTAGTCAAAAAAAAAAGCAAACAACAATTTTTAAAAAGTATTTTATTCTTGCATACTTTAAATATCATTTATAAACATAATTGCAATATTTCTCTCTATTTAAATGATTTACTAATATAAGCAGTATAAGCTTATACACTTCCCCAGTTGATTGGTCGGCCTGTATATCGGGGGAGCAGATCAGTTCATCTCACAACTGTTTCACCTCGACAGTTTGATCCGGGCTGTTTCATCCCAAATTTACATTGGTCATTTCATCCAACTTATATAGGGTCGTTTCATCCGATAAAGATCACTGTCAGTAAAATTCACGAATTCTATGGATAAAGCTAAATGTTCGTAATAATAGTAGATCATCATTCGATCGAAATTAGGATTGCAAAGTTGCAAAGTTGCAAAGTTTGCAAATTTGCAAAGTTTTTATTAATTCGTAGATGATAGACACATGGCACAATGATCAAGTGACAACCATAATTAAAATTGCTTTACAAAATAAATTCTGTACCATATGACATAGCTTTGATCACTTGGTTTATTGACATAATTCCAACCGATGCATGTCACGTGCCATAGGGATTCGGCATTGGAGATTCTGTCGGAAAAATATATTATTAATGACTGTTTCTCGATGTATTCTGTATTCTATCAGTGGATTATATTCAATGGAGATTTAAATTTAACTAACAACCAGTCAGTGAAACCATTAAATGTATGATTCAATTATTATTTTAGTATCTACCTGGAATTCGTACGGATCAAGCGTTACCATTATCAAATTAACATTAAACATGCTAATTACTCGGGTGATGAACCACATGGTATGACCGTTACTGTAGTCGATAAGTACATGTATGTTGATTGACTTGCTTAATCAACAAGTAATAATTAACGCGTTGTAATTTAGAAAAAAAAACCAGATTGATTTGTAAAAACGATAAATATTGACCAAAAAAGCAACGAGTTTGGTAACAACTATCCTTTCAACAATGTGAATGAGCGACTATCTACTCGCGCTAAAACAAATTTGTGTGAGGTTGCATGCCCACGAGAGATAGTTCGCGTCTTTACGTGTTTATTTAACAATAAATAATTAAGTACATCTCAGTTAATTAACTGCTATTCTAATAACATGGGGGATGAAACAGCCCGATAAAAAAATATGTTGGGATGAAACAGCCAGAGATGAAACAGTCGTGGGATGAAGGTACAGGTTAATAAAGTAGAAAAATTAAGAAACATAAATAAACTGAACATAATCTAAATTATTCAGGCTGGTTAACATAACATTAGAGCCCTGCATTATTTGATCAATTTATAGACAATATCACATGATCAACACTACTGCTGACCTTCCACATGGATCAGGTATGTTGTAATATAACCACTTTTGTGACTATTATTTATCTATGAACATCTGTCCGGTCTGATGTTTAATTCGGTTTTTACATCTGAATTTGGTTGTATCAAGGCACCTTATCATAAGAAGTACAAAATATTTTGGCAGTCTATTAATTATTACATAATTATTAAAAAGGGCGTAAATAAATGTATGCAACAAAATTGTGTTATAGGAATAAATACTATCTATCGTGCATCTGACCTGGACACTGGACAAAAAAAAAATCTGGGTCATACGATTGTGCCAGGTTCGAAATCCTTATTATTCTATTGGGAGAAAACTTTGTTTCAAATTAAAATGAATAGCGGTTGCATAGCATTTGTATTGCGTCATACTTACAGAAAGGGGGGTATCAGGTATTATTCGAAGACATGTGATTCTAGTTTTCAATTTTCAAAGACGTTTTTCTTTTACATTTGACGTTTCATTATAGGGCGCAGCCATATTGGTAGTCACACATGTGTAACCGGAAATTAACCGAAACGAAAGCATTAGAAAAACGAAACGAATACTACAACAACTAAATATACCGATTAAACAGATCCATGCAAAATATACTCCAAAAATTACAAATATAAAATGATATGTAAACTATAACTTCTCAAACCAACGGTTGTCATGCAAGATACGCCCATATTTTGTTGATCTGCTTCAAAGAGGTAGGTTGATCTCGTGGCTAAGTGGGTAAGACGCTGGCTCGCTAGCCTGGAGGTTATGGAAGGGTATCGCTGCCAATATTAAATGCTCTGCGACAATGTCGTTTCCATTGATTATATGTAAAAAGTACAATGTAAAAAGTCCTAATACCGATATTGATAGAGTCAAAATACCTCTAAGGCAAGGGTTAGATGTAAAACGTCAAATGTTAAGTGTTAAATGACAAATGTTTTGTGGGAAAATGCTTTTTTTGACGTGTCTACATTTTACATTTCTCTCATTACATTTTTTTACATTTGCGCTCTGCCACATCCCATTTGTCCTTCACGCTTTGGGGGGTTGGATGGCCGAATGGTTAGCACGTGCGTGCTGTATCATAAGACCTGTCATTGAGTCAACTGGCGTAGTTTCGAATCCCCGGTTGTACGTGACAAGGAGTAGGGTCGCCTGTCCAGCCTCGTGGGTTTTCTCCGGGTCCTCCGGTTTCCTCCCACTGCTAAAGACCCCTACGCGCAATTAGCGAATTATTGAAATAAAATAAATTAAACCAAATGTTAGTCCCGAAATGACCTAGTTTATGTCGCGTGGACGTTAAACCCCATTTCTCTCTCTCTCTATCCCTTCACGCTTTCTACATAGCAACTTTCGCACGGCATCAAATTGCATAATGCAAATGTAGAATATCACGTGACTTATTAACATCTATGGAAACCCGGCATAAGCACACTATAAGGATATTCACCGCACGACAAAAGAAATCAAGCTGGCACACCATAAGAAACTATCTAGACGACCGTGCGTAATTTTAAATGTGCCAGGAAATAATTGATAGATTCAAGCAGCCAAAGAAACATACTTTCCAGTAATTTATAACACAATAACTGGAATTTCGTATTAATACCCGTATTTTATATTTTAAACACCTCCACTCTTTCCGGTCTCTCTATAAACCGAGATGTGTAGCCTACTTTGATCCATTAAAAAAAACAACAATATATACTGAGCGCCATGGAAAACGCATCACCTTTTTTTCCCCAAATATTTTATTACTAGGTGGCTTTGTATGTATAATATTATATGCAATACTATGAACTATTGTTTCACACAATGCTCCCAAACGCAAAATATATCGGCCCGTGTGCACAAAAAAATGCACGAGATGCACATGAAAAACCCAATATTCACGTGCAGCATTGTGTGTGAGCCCTTTAAAAGCATGTTTTCAACTTAATGTGCAGTACATGAACTGTGAAACGTCAATCTGTCGTAATTTGTTGTTGGACGTGTGAAGGAATCGAGCTAGAGATGCCGAGACTTACTGAAAATCAACGGAATGAAGCCATGGGAATGTCCAGGGCTGGCATGTCTACACGTGCTATTGCCAGACATCCGGGTCACTCATCTGCGTGACAGATTCCGCCCAGCGACTCGAACAGGTGCAGCAGTCGTCGGAAGACAAGGACCAGTAAGTGCCAACACGTCGTCTAAGAGAAGTAGGACTCCGTGCACGACGACCTTATGTTGGAGCTATCCTCAGGGATCATCACCGTCAGCGGCGTTTGATATGGGCTCAAGGACACCAGACATGGAGAAGAGTAGACTGGCAAAGTGTGCTCTTCAGTGATGAGAGTCGCTTTCATCTTTATCACGCTGATGGCCGTCAATGTGTGTGGAGACGTCTTGGGGAACGTCTTGCAGACTGCTGCGTCTTCGAAACGAATCGATGGGGTGGGGGAAGTGTAATGGTGTGGGGAGGCTTCACATTTCATCACCTGACCGCCCTACACATTTGCAGGGGTCGCGTTAATGCTGTAGCCTACCGTGATGATGTCTTGCAACCAATTGTTGTTCCGATGTTTCGAGCGCACCCCCAACTTCAGCACTTCCAACAGGATAATGCATACCGCCCGTTTTAGTATGAACTACCTGGCTGCTAACATTATCAATGTCTTGGACTGGCCAGCCATGTCTCCGGACATGGCACCGATAGAACATGTCTGGGATGAGATTGGACGCCGTCTGTATCGGAGACCACAGATGCACACCATTGCTGCTTTAGAAGCTACTCTTGTCCAAGAATGGAACAGTTTGCCCCAGGCCTTCTTTCAAACATTGGTAAATTCCGTGCGACGTCGCTGCACAGCGTGCGTAAGAGCCCGTGGAGGACACACGCGCTACTAACATCTGTGTCGTACTTTTGGTTTTGACCCCTCTGACTTTGTACCGTTGATTACAGATTAAACATCCATAAGTGTACAAATGTGTTGTTATTGATGTGTTCCCATTTGAATATTGTTCACAATAAGAAGCAAAATAAATAAGATATGTTTACAGGATCATTTTGTTATACGAAAAACTAAGTGATGCGTTTTCCATGGCGCTCAGTATATAATCATTGTGCCCAACAAATAAATAATATATTTAAAGAGAGGAATGACTATACATCTTTTGGTATGGACATAGATAATTTTTGATTAAGCCCTGTATCTTTATTTTAGTTTAGTTTAGTCCCCCCACCTTCCTTCACTTCAGCTTTAATCTTATTTTGTAAAGTTAAGCAAATATGAAGGTGCCAGAAAATTATTTTCATATTTGAAAAGAGCAATCAGTGATACTTAACATGGTATCTGGAATTTCGTATTTAGACCAGTATTTTTACTTGAATACCCCTTTAATAGTGTGATGTTTATTAGATTTAAATTATGAAAATACGATTGTACCAGAAAACTATTTGCATATTTACAAACAGAAATGAATGTGATTTTCACAAATATGTAACATGATACCTGGAATTTCGTTTTTGGACATTGCACAGTTCCCCCCCCCCCCATAAAGTGCCATCCAAAGTGTCAAGGTGAGTAAATTTTTATTGTGTGCTAGACTGATTTCCTGTTATAGTGTCGTGAATATCCTTGTTCTGGCTAATATAGTGTGCCAGGTTTCCGTATATGTTAATAAGTCACGTGATATCCTACATTTGCATATGCAAGATGATGCTGTGCGAAACATGCTATGTAGAATGCGTGAAGGACAAATGGGATGTGGCAGAGAGCAAATGTAAAATGTAATGAGAGAAATGTAAAACATTTGTCATTTAACACTTAACATTTGACGGTTTACATTTAACTCTTGCCTTAGAGGTATTTTGACTTTATCATTACCGGTATTATGCCTTTGTACATTGTACATTTTACATATAATCAATAGAAAAGACATTGTAGCAGAACATTTAATATTGGCAGCGATACCTTTCCATAGTAGGTCGGGTGTTCGATCCCTGCATTGGCCGAGAAAGTTCATCCCGATTTTCCGGCGTGGTTTCCCCTTGTCAGTGATGCAGGACGGAGGGCCTGACAAGGACGTTCGGATGGAACGAAAAACCGAGGTCCCATGTACACATTGGCGTGCACGTAAAAGATCCCTTGGCAGTTGGAATTCGATATAAGAGTAGGCCACAGTGCCGCTGCCCGGGGGCAAAATTTCCCTCATAGCATACTGTATGGCGTATGTCCGTCTTCATTAGCCCAGGTTAGGAGCAGAACAGTAGGACGTTAAACCCCATTTCATTTCATTTCAAAGAGGTAGCGGGAAAGCCTTCTTTTTATTGTAACGACCAAGCGAATATTCACTCCTGATATTTTGCAAGATATAGACGAAGAACAGAAGAACAGGTAAAATCAATGGTGCTCATTAGCTCATTTTCCGAAAAGCTTCACTCGAACTCGGAAATAACCTGTCGCACAAGGTTTTCGGGAATGGTGGTGGGGGGGGGGGGTAACTAGGGTCTATAGATTTACCCACAACTACCCGTATTTTGCTTATAAATCGATCTTTTAAAGATACATTAGTTTAGAGTTTTATAAAGAGTTGACCATTATTGCTATAATAATTCAAAAATAGATGATGAAAAAAGAAAATGTTGAAAATTCCAGTCAAATTACTTTGTCACCCGTACTGTTGGAATTTTGGACTAGAAATAGGCATCAATTGTGTCTGCACCGTCTATGAGAATTGGCGATCGTTTGATTGACAGACGATAACTCCACCCACATATTCTCGATTATCACGTAACATGCTCAATGGCTATGGTAACCACACTTGGCTGGCCTTTCATCACTAGTTTCCGGTAGTGACATCAGCGACTAACGGTAAACGTTAGCTTGGCCCGCCATTTATTGATCTAATTTTAAATGGATGACTGTTTAAATCCAAACTGTACCCAAGCCATCCGTGGTTCTACAGAGTTGATTTTGAGCTTGTCATGTAAATAAAGGTCTAATTAATAATTTCTATAACACCTGAAGCCTAAATAAAGACTTGCAATAGGCAGATTAAGCTCTTGCATAATGTATGTTTAAATATTTTTTTTTTATGTTTAGATGACACGAGTCTTGTCATTATTAATTTCAATATTATGTTGTGGTAAGTAAGTAAGTAGTCCTAACCTGGCAAGAATATGGTCGAAACTATTCGAAATTCGAAACAAGAATTATAACCCTTGCTGCAATCTGCGTTACTCTTTTCTTCTTACGGTAGTTTTGTTTTGTTATTATTTTACATAATTATGTTAATTGTGATTATTTAATTCCATTTTCAAATACAAAATATAATCATTTGTACAGTTCTTGTGAGGACCCGGAGAAATCACACGAGGTTGGACAACCTACCAAATTCCTTGTCACGCGTACAAGAGTGTGGTATCGAAATTACATGTCATTTGACTCAGTGACAGACTTTATGATCTCTGGCAACAAGAAAAACATCATTTTTAGTTTCTTTATATCTTTTATGTCTGCTGGTGATTGTTTAACATGAACAAAATCAAAAACGTCTCATCACCATTCACCAGGGGCGGATTAAAGGATCCGTCGACAGAGTCGGCTCGTTCCGAAGGGCCCCAGTGAAAGGAGGTTCGAAGGTCCTCCGCCAGAAAATTTTGAAAATGACATCGTCGAAACAAACTGGAACCGATGATTTCACTGCCCAAATCTGACGAAAAACAAATGAAGCTGCGTTTAACCTCCTGCTTTTCTGCTCCACCTGGACTAATGAATAAGGGCATATGCCACGAGGTGTGTGAGAGAAAATTTGCCTGGACAACGTCGTTTCCTCGAGATTTTCCGGCTTCGTTTCCCCTTGTCGACGTCAGTGGTGCAGACGGGGATCCTGGCAAGGAAGAGTGGTTCGGATGGGACGAAAAACAGAGGTCGCGTGTACACGTTGGGGTGCACGCAAAACAGCGCTAGACAGGTATAATCCCATTGCACACAGTATGGAGTATGTCCGTCTTGATGATTCCGGTGGATGCCACGACGAAAACAAAGGGGCGAAATATTAATTGTCCGGAAACTGTAAAGCATTTAAAGGGCTAATCCAGATAATATTTTGGAGAATAAAACTGCTTATTTTTGTGTTAAAATAGCTTAAAATCCTCTACCTTAGGGCCGAGCAACTAACTCAGTATATATGATACGTTTTCAAACAACGTAAACCTGTCAGTTTTCATCTGGAAATGGAGATCTGTGTTCCAAGCTGCATTATGCGGTGTCTGGATAAAACCAGACTTTTATTTTATAAAAATAATTTGTAGGTGAAATTTACCTTTCGTTATCATGTACAGCACGTGGGCCATTCACAGCATAGACCTCTAAAGGAACAGGAATCGATTATCAGGTCACCCAACGAAAAAATTGACCCGAAATCTTAAAAGGTTTACGTGTCCGGATAAGCAGTTTTGACGTTCACGTCCACACGACAATATTTTGAGCTGAATTTTTGGGACAAGGTAAATACACAATTCCTCAATATTTTGGCGCTTAGATTTCATACCTACTCTGATTTTTATTTTTGAGACTCTGTACAAATCCTAATAGTCCCTTGGCAAATTTCTATATAGGGGTGAAGCACAGGATGAAAAGAATATGGGAAATTTATTCAAAGCATACACAGTCTCCTTGGCAAGGCTTTCCCGAATTAACCAAAATTAATTAGCGAGCAATAGGATTTTTTGCGCAAAAAGAGTATTTTCGATATAGATGGAATATTCTAATTGGACAGTAGTTCTGCAGTTCGGTCATTCCATGTCAGGTGGACCAAATTCTCAGAAAGGTGTCGGTTGACCCCATCAGAAAATTACGTTTGCAACTACTATTCTATGATTCTAGCCAGTCTATATTCTTGAAATTTTGAGGTTTGTAAGAGAATGTTATAGATTAAGAATTCATTATCAAATTTTACAGAGCAAGTACTGTCAACTATGCCAAAAATTGATACTTGTGCAAAAAAAAAACCATATCAAATTTTTAAAAAAAAAAAATCAATATTTCGAAACAGTGTAGAACTATTACTACACTATATTAGAAGTTGTTACTTATCACAGATATAATGTATCAATGGGTAATGTAATGTTTCATCATAATCCGAAGGGGTCACCCGACTAGCCCTGGTCCATTTAACATGGAATGACCCAGTTGTCAATCACCCACTTCATTCTAACAAAGTTGACAAAAGAAAAATGGCCCTCGCCAACTGTAAGGCTTCCAGTGATTGGACGAAAAATTATTTCAATTGTAAATGATAAATTAATTATAGTATTATTAAGATAGATCTGTTTTAAAAATAACAAAAGTCCAGGTGCCGACAGGATCGTATCCGGCTGTAATAGTGGAAGCCAGGATGGCCACTCCACACATAAACAAACACATAAGAAAAACCTGCTGAGTTGACGAGAAAACAAATGAGAATTTTGCCTCTGGACTGGACTCCGACACAGGGGTCCTAACACAGAAGTCAAAGGTGCGCTTTTCTGGTACTCGGGGCCCTGCTTCAGGGGGTTCATATCAAGTTTTCTCCCCGGATTCAGCGTTTTCTTTCAGTTTTAATTTTTGAGATATCTACTAGCTTTTCATCACGCTTTCAAATTTGCTACTGGCACGGTACAGGATAAAACTGTTTCCATTTTGCTATTGGGTTTCTAACACTGCTTTCATATTTGCTTTAAGATTTCTGAAGCCCTTTCCAATTTGCTACTGGATTTCTAACACTGTTTACATTTTGCCACCGGATTCTTATATTCCTCTACCATATTGATAGATTTCAGATCTATAGTAATTACACAGAAAACTATACAAACGATACGGCAAATCAAGATTTTATACAACTAGCTTATTGCCAAGTTGCAAACGAAGTGGTAGACGTTGCAAATTTGTTGTACAGGTAAAACCGAGTATATATTACTTCGACATTCTTTAAAACCTTGGGTTGTGCCCCAAAACGGAATGGGATGTTACCGGGTAAGTCAAACTGAAGAGGTGAGAAAGACAGCTTGGGACTAGCTGTTGTCGTCGTGTGTTTTGGGTGGTGTTCGTTTTTGTTTTGTTGGGGGGATGTTATTGCTAGATACTTAAATTACTTTTAGATATCTTGGATTTCTTGAAAGTATGAGGTCAATGGCGAATACGTGGAAATGCTACACCCGGTAAAACATCCACCCGATCATTGCACACGTATGACGAAAAATAGACAATACCATAAAATGACGGTTATGGGTTGTCCACCGAAACCATACACAAATCCTTCTAACCGAACACGTTCAGCCATAAAATGGTAAACACTATTAAACATACATTATGGAAGATTTAGATAAAGAGCTGGGCTTTCTTGCAATAATTGTTTGCACAATATTGTCAAGTGCCATTGTTAAGATGATAAACACAATCTGGATTATCTATTTTAAATCATAGTATTAAATGGAGATAGCGTTTCAACCCGTTGACAATCGCGAACATGCTATTGTCTAGAAGGTTGATTATGGGCTTGTCATGCGAATAAATGTATAATTAATCATTTGTATAACATTTTGAGACCTAAATAAAGGTCTGCAATATGTAGATTTAGCTCTTATATAATGCATTTTTAATGTGTACTGTTCTGAAAGATTTTAACAGTACACCTTTTGATTTGGATCCTTGTTGGTGCCCAGTTATTTCGTTTTGTTCTAATAATTTGAAAATATGCTTTTAAGCCCCATCTTGGAAAAAAAGAAACAAACCAAACAATATCCATATGTTTTAATTCTTAGAAATCCATATGTTTTTATTTTTTAAAAAAACCTTGTTTTAGAGATATATTATATCGTGTGAAATATATAGATAATATATATCATGGTACAAGAAATGATAAGGTTATTTATTATACGAGTATTAAATGGTCGCCCGCGACCTATTTTTTACAACCCCAATACCTGTACCAATTACAAAGCCAAAAATAATGCTGGATATAACAAATTACTTGAGCCCGAAAGATTTGTCGGCACTACATCTTAATTTTAATTGGAAGACATAATCGGAAATATCCTTCACTTGATATCGGCTTTATCTATGGGCCTGCAAATGTCAGCCCCTCCCCCCACCCCCACCCCACAAAAAAAAAATCCCACAGAAATCGTGATGAAAATGCAGCCAAATGGATTACTTTATTGGAGTGTCGCTTTAAATGTCATTACTACAGACCACAGATGTCAGAGCAGCGTGTATTGAACGGAGCTGTACCCAAATCTTTTGGGAATAAAGCTCTAGTTGAGTAATTCTTTGCATATATGAATTGATCTAATATAGTCCTATTAACTATTATATAAAGGGTTATTAAAGTTCTTGTCAGTATTATTCCAACTTCTATCGTCTCGGAATAAACTTGGCTGGATAAAATGGGGACGTGGTAACCGGAAGCTAGCTTCGCTATCACATTCACTTCTACTTGAAGAACTCGAATCGTCGCTGTGTGTAGTACGTCTCCTCCTGAAAAAAACAATTCTTATGGGTTTACTATAATCCAACAGTGAATGCACAACGTGTACATAAAGGAAGAGTCACATATAGATAAAAGTCGAACAATCAAGAAATCAGAACGGCCAAATCAAGGAAATAGCGATCCGGAAATCAGGATCTGTCCATCCAAGAATATAACCCTTCAAGTAATCTGGATCCGTCCCACCATGGGTACTGGGTGGGCCTATAAACGATTCGAGATATATGGATCGTGGATATAACGATTCGAATTCCAACTGTCAAGGGATCTTTAACGTGCACGCTAATGTGTATACGGGACCTCGGTTTTTCGTCCCATCCGAACGACTAGACAGCTGTCCTTGTCAGGTCCCCCTGCATCACTGACAAGGGGAACCACGCCGAAAAATCTGGATGAACTTTCTCGGCCAATGCAGGGATCGAACACCCGACCTCCGGGCTAGCGAGCCAGCGTGTTACCCACTTAGCCACCGTGACCCCATCATGGGTGTAACGATTCGCTCAATTTGGGTCCGTCCCATCATGGGTGTAACGATTCGCACAATTTAGATCCGCCCTGGGTATAACGAAGAGGTCGATATGGGTTCGTCTCATCGCGGTACGATTCGAGCAAAGTGGATCCGTTCTATCATGGGTTTAACAATCCAAGCAAATTTAGATCCGTACATCCATAGGTATATAATAAAAGAAGCACACGTACCTTCTCCATTTCATAATGGAGTAGATGGTTGCCATGATACCAGCTATAACGACAACTGTAGGTACAACAATTGATAGAATCTGATTGGGTGAAGCTGCGGCTGCAATGGATGACGAAATGATTGAATATAATATTTAGATAATGGTAATAACTAAATTTAAATTTCACCTGATGTAAGACAATTGGGAATTTCCAAAAATAAGGTAACCCTACGCCCGTCAAAACAAATGATTACGTCAATTTTCATTGTTTTTTTTAACGCTTTCGGCATTACATACATGCATTGCTAGTTCAAGAAAATGCAGGTGTTTAAGTTATATCGAAACTCTAAACATAGCCTGACAATATTTATTAAGTACACTGTAACACCTGGAAAAACATATAAATAGAATAGGGAAGACGCACTTACGTTTACATTTGGTGAACACAATCTCGAGCGATCGTTAGCCAGCTGTTGCTATCGAGTAGTATTATCCCTGTTTTGTATGTTTTTGTATGTATGAGTGTCCCAAATCTCACTGGATGTGGTAAAAAAGCCAGCGCCACTTATAAGTCTAATTAGTTAAGAGCTGATAATAATAATTTTGTCCGAAAAATTTAAATGACGATCAGTGGCTTTAATCACAAGACACACCCATAGATGTTAGCAACGAGAACGTAACAATATACGTACCACTAGTGGTTTCATCATCATCGGGTTCGGCCATTAAAGAAACCGGTGGTTCACTACAAGTTAACGTTGGTCGGTAACCTGAAACATAATTTCAAAACTTTATATTCAAACAACTCAAACGCAGATTCTTTTTCATTTCGTATTTTATAGTTCAAATTCCGTTTTATTTGTCTTGGTGACAGTAGGATATGGACGAGCTTTTAAAATAAACCACGTTCTTCTGGTGTGGGGGATTAGCCATGAGTTGTTGACAGAATTATGGCATACATCAATTTCTGAAGTTTGAATTGTCGAGACGCGAGAACGGCATTCATGTGCTTTGCAGTGTAAGCATAAATTTTATTGCATGATTGCATGGTTTGCATAATCTGTTAAAATAACATATCCAAAAGGCCTAGAGGTCCTCTAAATGAAAGGTAAAATCGAGATAATGGTAAGTGAGCTTCGAGAATGAGAATATGTATCCAAATAATCGACAGTATACCAAAGACAATAAAATGTGTAACCCTAATTAGTATGCACATACCTCTAATAAAGCTTTCATTACGGCATTGTTGCATATTGTAATATTCAGCCACTAAATCTTCATATTCAGCTGGTCTAAGACCCTGTCTACACTCACAAACTTTAGAATTACCACAAATCTGTTCTTGTTTCATAAAGCACCTTTTGTTTTTGCCATCACACAACTCCCCTAGGGCTGGTATTACAACGTACGGTGGATAGTCTTTAGGTTTACAACCAGTGTTATTGACAACAGGCGAAAACCCGCGATAACATTCACATTGCCCGTCAATACATCGTGATAAAGGCGAGATACATCTTGTGCTTTCTCTACTACACACATCCCCTATTTTTACAACTAAAACATAAATATCAATTATAAAATAGGTTGAGACAAGATTACCACTAGAAGTGATTATTCCATGAGATATACTCTTCAAATAAAGAAACGCGCAGCTCATTTTTCATCATTTTTTTAATTTGAACGGGATCATTGTTTCCATAAATCTTACTTGTTTTTAATGTCGTTATGTAAGGATAAGATAAAACCAAGTACGAACAATCCAAATCATTAGACAAAATTCGAAGTCCTAAAAAAACGGTATAGGCAAAATAGTGTAATAAGGCAAAATAGTTTAATCAGCATATGGACTGTTCACCGTGTACAAAATACACGACAAACAGTGGTAACAGGTGTCCGGAAGAGTAAGCTTACCCTGCCTGGCGCCACACCCGCCATAGCATTATTGGTTTTAAATGTAGGGTCACTAATTGTGATTGGTCATACTTTTTGCCGAAATTTGTTTTCGCTTGATTGCACCAACACACTGAGTTGAACAACTTCGCAAGCTTTTCGCAGGAAATCCAAATCTAAGGCCTTTAAAATCCCGGGATTCTCTGTTTCAAAATCAGTTGCAATGTAACACTTTGGTCCTTGAGACAATTTTGGTTCTTTGCAAAATTGTTACTTCACTCTGTCTATAGAGTTAAATCACACGTACTTAATGAACGTGAATATATAGGTACATGTATACATAAAAAAACAGTGATATATTGGTTAAATCATAATCATTTTAAAAATATCCATCAAATTCTGGCTGTTTATTGACCTATGGTTGGTAGACCAAAATAAGGTAACTTCTCCTATTTTAGTTGTGGGAAATAAAGAGGTTTATTCCATATATGGGATGGAAATTGACGACATGGTTATCGAAGACCTGCAGAAATTAGGGGGTATAAATTAGGGTGTAGAAGTGAGTTGGATCAGAACTCATTCAGAAATTCCTAGCAGCCATTATTATTGAGAACGGGGAACCTGCAAAGCCATTACAGCTTAGCAATGAAGTTGTGAAACTATTTTATGCTGTAGTCTTGTTACGATCGCCAAGAAACAAACACAACAAGTAAAAAGTCATATAGTACTAACTATAGCACATGTAAACTCTCAGCGAGCCAAGTGACGCCACATCTGAACGAAGACCAACGCAACAACAGGCAGGTGAATACCACACAGGCTCCTGAATGTTTCCCAGAATACCATTTCTCGCCTTTGGGATAGGTACTGACAGCGAACTTCAACACGTGACCGCCCAAGCTCAGGTCAAACAGAGGGACCCCACCTGCCCTGGATCGTCACATCCGGCTACGTTATTTGCTGAAACGGTTCACAACAGCGACCTCTACTGCAGCAGTAATTCCTCGACGGCGTAGGATCTCAGACCAGACTGTCCATAGACGCCTACGTGAAACCATATTACGAGCCAGACTTCAAGTACGTCGACACCGTCAAATCCGACTTCAGTGGGTTCAGTCAGACAGGGTATGGCCACAGCAACGCTGGAGAACAGTTTGGTTCAGCGACGGGTAGCAGTTCATGTTGCAACGAGGCGATGGTAGAGGGAGGGTATACCGACGACGAAATGTCACTATGCGTTTCTTTTTTGTTGAAGAGTATATAAATGCAAGGTTAAAATCGTTTGGATGATTATTCATTTTAAAAATTTCGTTAATGTCGGAGGTCCCGGGTTCGATACCGGTGTTGGCTGAGAAGTTCCTCTGGATTTCCCACCGAGGTTTCCCCTTGTCAAGGACAAGGAACAGTGTCAATCGTTTCGACTGGACGAAAACTTGAGGTGCTGTGTACACACTAAATTAAGTAAATTCATATAAGGCCACATACACAGCTATTTAACGCAAAACATCTTCACAAGCATCCTTTGAAAACCACTACTGAATATATTTCATACGAATTGTAACCTTGAAACATGTATATCTGTTTAACTGATTGGGAGTCGGTCTCCAATTTTGCATGCAATCTAAGATGGCATATTTTGAGTTCTGTGTAATTGCACCCAAATTTGAACAATAAAACCACAACAAAACCCCCCAAAAAACTACCGATATTTATTTAGTTAAGACGGGTCAAGAAATGTGACGTCCCAAATAAGAAAAATTGCGGAGAATTATGAAAGTTATTTTTGCACTGAAAAAAGTTAGCTTCCTTTTAGACTATATAGATGAGATATCCCAAAATACTATTTCACATGACGTTTAGAGGGTGTATGAGATATTTTGGTCAAACTAAACTTATCAAAATAATTTCTACGATGCCATCGATCTTGAAATAAATATATGGCCACCAAGCATCACAAGTCGAAAAACAACCATATTCTCCAGCCATTATGAATAGCCTACAGCACTAAAATTACAGTTTGGATCATAAAGTTTCTGACAGACCAGAAGGTCAGATTGTCATTTTACAACAACCAAATAAATACTTACCAGGTAAACATGACTTTTTATCAGCAGAAGGGGCAAATCCTACGTCACACCAACATCTGTTGATGCAACCACCGGTGGCTGGTGTACAGGTAGAGTTACCCGGGCAGAGGGCGCCAGCTGTACAATTATCGCCAATCGACAGTGGTACTATAATAATAGAAAACAACACGTGTTTTAGAATATAATATTTAACATTAACAGGCATTGCATGAGAGCGAAGCTGATTGTTGTCAAATAGTCAAATACAAATTTCTCAACTGATGCAAAAATGTTAAATAATTTCGTTATTCCAGATTGGTTTTAAATTAGATCCAACAAGCATTGCATAAGAGCAAAGCTGATTGTTGTCAATAAAATACTATATAAAAAAATAGTAAAATACAACTATATTTCACAAGTGATGCAAAAATGTTAAATAATTTCGTTATTCCAGATTGGTTTTAAATTAGATCTAAATTGTATGAGTATTAGTTAAATTACCGATTAATTTTGTTGAAGTAAAAACCCCAAAAAGGTGTGAGAATTATTTTCATTGACCTAATACGGTCTATGATGTCACGTTATTGACAAGACGGGTAATGTCACTTGTACAAGATTTGAGAGGGGAGGTAACTCTGACTGTAGTGACATGCGCATTGTCTGTTTTGCCCAATGTATCCGGTCTGTATTTTTTTTGAGCAATGTCTATATATTCTTATCCACGACTGCAACTGATACATTATTCGAATCTTTGAGCAAGTAAAATTAGGTTCAATTGCAAAATTTTCAAAACATGTCATCACAGTTTGCATGGAAATAAGTAATTATGTTACAAATAGTGAAGAGTGGAACACTGAAATCATAATATTTTCTCACCGAACAGTTTTTCGGTATTTTCGAGTGGCAATGACACCACGTGATTCTGGTTCGGTGGCCATTTTAAATTGAACAGAAATTTTGCATAGCAGTTGGGTTTAATCAAATCAGCGTGTTGTGTTGCTCATACTGGTTCTAGCGAGGTAAGCAAGGTCTTATATTCTCACTCAGGTGTTCATTTATATTGTTCAGGCGTTCACGGGGACTGACACGCGACCGTTTCCCAGTAAGATTGACTGGGCGGATCTCAGTTTCGACAAGGATTCAATCGAATTTCTGAACGTACCGGCCGAGTGTAATGAGACCTACGTTCAGAGATGAACTAGGTATTAAGACTGTCGAGTTGGCAAGTTGGAATTAAAATGTGATTTGAGCGTCATTTTCAAGTCAATCGAATTTACAACATGGGCTTAGAAAACATAAGCCATGATTTTACAGGGGCGGATCTAGGTTGGGGGGGGGGGGCAAATCCCCCTCTGCTCAGCTACCTAAAATTTTTTAAAACAACACATTTTATGAGATAGGTGTCACGGTCGTGTGCCTTATCCTTTATCGTCAGATGGTGGGATGGGGTGGACATTCAAAGGGCGAGATAATGATATAAGCATATGTGATATTACAATTAATGCTTTGCATCAATGAAATTGAATCACAATATCATCGTATTAATTCATAATAAAAATTGACGTCAAACAGGGTGTTGGACTTCTCTCTTTAAAAAGCTCAGTGTGGGTTCGTATATACGCAAAAATGACGATAAAGGCCACGTATTTCTCAAAAATGTTCAAGGCAATGGGGAGGGTCCCCCTGCAAATATCCTGGACCCGCCCCTGTTTTACGTGCTACTTTCAATTCAGAAACCCATAATTGCAATAAATACAACATACAAAATTCGATGTATACTACTTACCACATTCAGGTGTAAGCTCTGGAAATGAAATAAACATGAAATTAAAGACAGATGTATTGATTTAAATAGAATATATACAATTTTATTTTGAAATGATAAAACAAGGTGATTCTGGAGTGAGCTGTTTTAAAGGGACATTGCCAGATTATGCTGACCTTGGGCTAATTTACTAATAATTTCAATTTTGATGTCATAATAAAATGGCGTTGGATCTAACGTCTCACGTCTCAGCACCATGCGGGCTAATTAAGGCGGATATACGACATATGCTATGAAAGAATTTTGTATTCTAACTGCCAACACTTCATCGATTCCATCTGTCAACGGTCCTTTTACGTGCACTCTAACAAGCATACGGTTTGAACTCGGTGTTTTGTCCCATTCCAACGACAAAACTTACCGACTAAATATTTATTTAATGCAATGCAACCCTTACACTTACTAGACAATTCAAGGTCGCTAAATCGTCCTTCGATAGCAATAAGGATAACGAAAACATACAAACTATTATCTTCTGACACGCTATTAGCGTTTTCATGGCAAACCGAATGCATGAAACAAAGTCGCACTATCTGGCGATATCCCTGCAATAATAATTTCCCAGACCTGAAGCGTATTGATATGGTGCATTGTGGCAATAAGTGATTTTGATTTGTAAACGGTAAACTATGTATTAAAATTCAATATATTTATTATCAGGACTTTTGGTTAAAACCGCCGACCATCATTTGAGGAATTTGAAATCTCTTGCAAACTAAAATATTGTGATTGTTCAATCTCTAAGATTCCTACCAGGGGCCGGTTGCTCAAAACTCAGTTATTTTAACGACCCGTTAAACTCCAACGGATCTTTATCTTGCTAAAGTGTCGTTTGTTGACGTTACGTTATATTTATGTTGCTGGAAAGTCAATTTCATTATCCGTTATCTAACGGACTAATTAAACTTATTCTAAGAGAAGACTGTTTGGTCATTGACTGAATTTTAAATTTTGAAATTTATGTATAACAACTTCATAGAAGTTAGTATTAACAAGAAACTGAAGAAAGTGGGACATCTTACTATGCAGTCTGTTCATAGAAGTTGATTAAAGACAAAAAGATATCTGTAGAATTTTCTACAGAAAACACTATAAAAAAATCTATAGAATACTACAGTATTTTCCTATTGAAATTTTAGTATAAATCTGTAGGAAAATTATAGGATTTGCACTACAGAGACTGTCGAATATTTGGGGCCATTATTTCCTCCAGGTTCCCCAAATTCTATACAATACTATCGAATTTCATTTGGCATCCTCTTTTTAAACCGATTGTTTTCTTAATCCAATGTTGAATAATAAATCTGAGTACATTTTAGCTGAAGATATTGTCAGCGGTTTTAAAACTCTAAAATATTAAATTTGAAAACACCTCCAATGAATGTAATGGCATGGTTTTCCGTACATATATCGAAGTTCAAGAAAGGTTAATATTGCGTTTAGCAAATACGTCGAATCAACTACCCCTAGTAAATAATGTGAACTATGTGCTCGGCAAACTAGCATGATGTCTGCGTGCTGAGTAAGTAAGCAATGAACTTAACCCTGGGATTCTCTGATGCATCGACCGTTATAGAACCAGGCCGGACCAGCAGCGTAAACTTCTGCATCTTCAGCCACCCGGAAATCCGGGTTACAAGTACATATTTTATCTGAACCACAAGAGGCGTCAAACTCGCGACAAGTGTCTGTACAGCTCTCACCGACTGTCGGCGTGTCATCGGCACAAAATCCATTAGGCGTTGTCCTGGTAAATGGCCGTCCACAAACACAGGTTCCTTTATCACACAGGCTGAATGGAACCGCACACGTAATGGTGTCATTACACAATTCCCCTAGTTTCACGGCTGTAAATAAAACAAATCGGTGATTAAATTAATTTCCACTGTCAGTGGTGCATTTTACATGTGAACTGCTAATTGGCACGTTGTCTGCTGGCATTTTCGTCACACAGGAACAATTGCTAATGCCTTATTCTTTACCAGGTTTTGTTTTTAATATACAATAACACCTCTATGGTTTGATGGAAATATAAACGACGATTTAAATGTATTTGATGAGTTCATTTGTTCATGCGAACACATATCCGTGTTTACTTACGTTATACAGTTATTATCCCTGATTACTTGTAATAAGACAGACCATTCTATTGATTTGATTAGAATTCAATTCACGAACCTACCTTTTAGACAAGCCATGCCTTTATTAGCAGAGAAATAGCCATCTTGACACTGACATCTTTTACCACTGCACTTGGTTTGATGACAAACAGAGTTATCTGGACAAGACACGTCATCATCACACGAATCATCAATACCTAGTTTAGCTAATTATATAGAATAAACAATACTTTGTGACAGTAGCATCCTCATTATTTTATCCCATTAAAGAAATACGTCTACTTATAGAACCCTAAAATACAACAAATAGCCAGAATAGCTAGAAGGGAACACGACCTAGTTTTAAAAATTGACAAGCAATTGCCCATAGCACCAGACTTGCTTTATATATCACGCAACACTTAATAAATAGTAAAATGAAAGCCCTTAAGGAATGGTAAGAATTTAATTCACGAATGAATCCCCGGAATTGTGAATCCGGAGTGTTTCTATAAGCAGAAATATAAAAATCACCCGTAACTTACAGCCATAAATCCCGACGCAAAGAATAATTCATGGGTCAATGATAGTCGATGAGTAATTTCAGAGTACCAATTGGCACGCACAGTCAATAATTAGGTGATTTAAATCTTTATCATTAAGGCGGGTAAAGGGTGTTTTATTAAATAGATCGTTTTGCCACAGAATGCTATTTATTAAAGATACATTATGGGAGATTTTTATAGAGAGTTGGCCATTCTTGCTATAACAGTTCGAAAGTAGATGATGAAAGAAGAATATATTGAAAAATTCAGTCAAATTACTTTATTCTGAACATAGTTATCATCGTTGTAATATTTGACTAGAAATGGTAGCGAAATGCGTCTTCACCTTGGCCGATCGTTTGATTGACAGGCGTTAACTCCACCTACATATCTCGATTATCAAGTAAAATTTTCAATGGCATACGGAAACGCTTTACAGCGGCCTCGCTAAGTACACTCTATCATTTAGCCTCGATCTAACTGACGTATTTTCATCAGGTTGCCCCATACTTGATTTAATCAATTAGTTAAATCCTATTTAAATCCGAGCTGTAGTCGAGCCATCCGTGGGTCTACAGAGTTGATTTTGAGCTTGTTGTTTAAATAAAGATCTAATTTATAATTTCTATAACATCTGAAGCCTAAATTAAGACTTGCAATAATCAGATTTAGCTCTTGCATAATGCATGTTTAAGCCGTTATAGACAGAAAAGGGATAACAACATAAGTTGACAACTAGGCTGTGCACTGGTGTAAGCAAAGAGCTGTGGTATATATTTGTAATCAAAAGTCGTGTAATAACTAACAAACCTGTTGCCGGAGTTGTGGTGCTAGTGGGGATGCTAGTAACTACTTCTGAAGACTGCGGTTGACTAACGGAAGAAGCTGATATAGGTTCTGAGGTTGATCCGATCTGCCCAGGATCGTTAACATCACTGGACATTTGTTGTGATAACGGAGACGAAGTAACTCCTACAGAATGTTGTGCTGATTGTGACATAACTTCAGTAGCAAACGCTACGGAACTGGTGCCGTCTACAGATCCAAATGAGGTATCAATGTCATCAGAAGCAGAATTTTGAACCGATGACGAAGATGCTATGGGTAGTTGAGATCCAGACATTTCGCCCAAACTTTGTGTTGCAGTTTGTGACTTAGTTACCATCGAACCCAATACCGATTCGTCAATTGTGGAGGATTTGCTATCGACGGAACTGTGTGTTGCAGCTTGTGACTGAGTTACTTGAATGGAACCCAAGATCGACACTTTGATTGTGGAGGTTGTGCTTTCAATGGAACTTTGATCAGTTTGTGGACGGGACGTTGTTTCAATGGATGTAGATAAACTGCCCACTTCAACAGAGCTTTGGATGTCTTCAGAAAGAGAACTACTTTCAACGAGCAATGTCTCTAAAGACTCAGACACGTTGCCAATACCAGTGGAAGTTCGTATTTCCTCGGGGACAATGCTTGTTGCCATAGACACAGAACGACTGTCAATATCCACAGAACTCTGAACAATAAGAGATGTAGAATCAGTTGGTAAACCGGTAAAGTTGTCAGAGCTCTCATGCGATTCCAGCCAGGCGGTTGTCTCCTTTCCCGCACCCACGGAGCTCGTAACTACACCAATGTAAGCGGATGTCGTTTCAAGGGCGACAGATGAACTATCCATCACCATAGAATCGTTCGAAGCAACAGACAAATCATCCAGAGATAAAGATGCGGATTCCAGCCAGGCGGCTGTCTCCTTTCCCGTACCCACGGAGCTCGCAACTACATCAATATAAGCGGATGTCGTTTCAAGGGTGACAAATGAACCATCCATTATCATAGAATCGTTCGAAGCAACAGACGAATCATCCAGAGATAAAGATGCGGATTTTGTTTGAACGGACTCGGTTACAGATGATGGTCGAATAGATGCTGACAATCCCATTTTAGATGATGATGCTGGCGTCTGTAATGATGTAAATGAATCAACGGGTGTAACAATGGTGACAGATGATGAACTATCCATCATAGAAACCGACGACTGATCCACAGACAAAGATGCTGTTTCCGTTAGATGGGACTCGATTACAGATGATGGGCGAATGGATGCAGGAAGTTCCATCTTGGATGATGATTCTGGCAATGATGTAAATGTCGATGATGATGACGTGGGTGCGGATGCGAATTCTGATGCTGATTGCAATACAGGGGACACTGGTGAAGATGGTGCTGTTGGTGGTGACGATGATGATGCGGGTACTGGAGTTGTGGCGGAATTAACCTGTGTAGAATTTTTTATACTTTCGTCACAAGCAGAATCATTCTCAGCTGGCTCTAAAATTGATAACATACATTGTAATAACTATTATAAATCAGTACATAGAACAGCGATCTAGTAAAATATAGTACCATTCATCGATACCTAAAAGACGTGCAAATAGAGATATAACACAGACTAATTTTAATCAAAGTGATTATATCACTGACCTTGTATACCGTTTTCAACTGAATAGGGCAAGTTGCAACAGATACTGGGCACACTTGTCCTGGCAGTTTCGGGAGTTCTACCTGTGTAGGTCATGTTTGGACTTAAACAACTCCCAAAGGTTCTTCCGCACCAACCCAGAATTCGAAGTATACTGGCCTGACCGATCGACTACCACTCCCCCCACAACCCCAAAAAGAGACTTATTTCCGAGTGTAACAGAAATGGAATGTCGTCAAAGGTTTAAGCTTTGTGGAGGGAAGGGGTTGCTTTCATCACTTGAAAGGTTTTTTCACTCTAATAGTCAAATTTATTTATTACCCAGATTAGCGTATTTTGATATGCAATATCCTGGAGGGTTGAAGGATATTCTCTCATGGATGGTCGCCTCTCTGAAAAACGTCGTATCACATTTACATATTCCAGATATACATTCCAAATCACTTTGACATTTTACAGGGACATTGACTTGGTTGGTTCCGCATGTCTCATTGATGGATGCCCATTGCAGATATCTGGGAAAATTGGATATTTTTCGACATTGTGAATTGTTTTCGGAGTAGCCGACATCACAGACACATTTCCCTCCTTCTTCGACATCATTACATCGGGAAAACATAGTTTCACAAACAGTGTTTTCATTGCAATCACCATATAGCGTTATTACTGAAATACAATAAAACCGTTTATAAGCAATTACCTGTAGTAATAGTAACGAGCCTTGGTAGCAGCTTAGGCACTACTGTATATCATAAAGCATTTATGACTCATTATTTTCAATCGTATATAGAATTTGTTCGCCGACCAATCAAAATAGTTGAAACATCATTCGATGCTTTAAGCTATAAATGTTATACATCACTAAATACATATGCACTAACAATGAGTTAAGTTATTCAGAAATGAATAGTTCAATACACTAGTTGTGGCGGTAGCAGAGGTCTCTCGTAGTGACTAATCTGTGTTATACCCACGTCAGACCGGAGTGGCGTCCTTACTGAGCTGCTACGGCGACGGAAAATGGTCTCAGAGCGCGTCGGAGTGGTCATTAGCGTGTTTAAAGCGTGATGGAAACGCCAGATATCGTGCTGTGTTCTCCGTGGTCGCCAATGATCGCCGAGTCACCGTGTTTGTTTTGAGCATGTTCAAAACAAACGCCAAGGTTCTGCGATCTGACCTGGAAAGCTGTGAAAAGGCGACTTTTTTGTGAATTTTTGGGGACATTTATTTGCGTTTGCCGGCGACCTTGCGCATTTTCTGGTCGCCGTACGGTAGCAGCAGCGCAGTAAGGACGTCACTCCGGTCTGACGGGGGCTTTACAAATAGACATGAGAAAATTATTCCGTTTCCGTTATTTTTACAATCATATAAGAAGTATAGTATACTTACGTTGTAAACAATTCTGTCTATCACTAGATGGAGCAAAATTTTTCTCGCATGCACATTTCTTATCACACCCTACTTGACGACAGGTTGCGTTACCAGGACAATTAGTGTCAGCTATGCATTCGGCACCTATATCTGTTAGACCTACAAATGAAATAATAGATAAGCTTACTTCGTCACAAACTTGTTGGCAGAAGTAGACGTTCGTTGTTTAGTGTATATGTGTTGGACGGAGGGCCTGGTAAGGTTTTCGTGCACACATTGGCGTGTACGTAAAAGAACCCTCGGAATTCGAAATAAGAGTAGGCCGTAGTGCCACTGTCCGGGCAAACTTTTACTCAAAGCAGTGTATGGCGTATGACCGTCTCCATTAGCCCAGTCGGTGTAGGACTGTTTCCTCATTTCATTTTTTGGGGAGTTGTGTAGTTATTTGAAGCCTTTGTCATTACATCCCCAGGACTGTCGAGTATAGTGAACGCCTCCTGCTGGCCACCATTCGCCATATTTATGAAAGTTTATATTGTGTCATGTCTCTATGTCCGTGTATTTATTTTCTGAGTTCTAGTAATTGTGTGTGTTCTGGTCATGCTGCCCCCCTTAATGGAAATGGGGAAACAATCGTTAACAATTTGACTGCAATTCGATCGCCCAAAGCATAAACGGATGTTTGTCAGATCCCTTATGCGCATCAGCAACGACGTCGTCAATGTTAGCTATCAAAACGTGTTTTAAAAGTTCGTTTGACAAGGTCAGATCTAAATAGTAGGGCTACCTGCAAACAGGTTTAGGGCACGTGATTGTTGCCGAGGTTTATGGGTTATGGTAAGATCTTATTCTTGGGTTAGGGTTAAGGATAGCGCTAGTCCTGTTTACATTGGCAGAAAGCAAGCACAGGTGACGACAATATACATGTTGTTGTACAAAACTTGACTTACTTCCTTCTGGTATTGATACACATTGGTCTTTTGAAGCTGTTATATTCTCACCTGTAAAACATCATTCATCTTTATCATCATCGTCATTATCATCATCAATGATCGAACTTTCATGCGATGATTCATAATATTTTTTCTATGTCACAGCAGCTAAATAAACAATTTCACCCTACGGCCACCTTTGTCACTACCCTTCACGACAGTCAAATACACAGATATGACACTAGCCCGCTTCACTATATTCCGATTCTGTATGGTTTCTTCTTTCTTGGAACTTCAATATGGACTTCGATGTTTTGACTTCACTATGGACTGCACTATGGACGTCACATTGTGTACTTTTAATATTGGACTTCACGTTGTGTACTTTTAATATAATAAATGAAGCGCTGGAAAATCGTATATTTCTACATACGCCTTTATATAATATTGCCGTATTAAAAGTTAGTTGTACACACGTGTTTTTGAAACTTGAATGTTTATAAGTTTAACGTAGCGGAGTACCTAACTCAATATTATCCAAAGTTTTCGACATTAAAAACACGAATTATTTGACAATTTAAATCAACATTCATGTTGTGATCTTACCGGGAAAAGATGGGCTTCTGATATCCAATATTTAAGACAAAATCAACATTTTATCATTGCATCACGTGTACCAGAATGCGTTTCAATACCATTTGTAACGAAGCTAGACATATTATTCCACCAGTCGAGTCAAATGGTGACGCCATATTCTTATCTGGAGAGCCTGCGCAATAAATACTATCGGTGTAGATTGGAATAACCAGACACTACAGATGGCCATTAGATTGAGACTTCTGACGTATTTCGCCGAAGATAACTCATTTGAAATTAGAGTAAAAACGGAAACGATTGAATGTAAATCAGATTATATGCATTCATACCACATTATTACATACGTTGCGACCAATTTGTGTCCATTTCTAGATCCCAAATATTAAGTAATCTATAGTCTGAGTTCATGGTATCCCTGAAAATTCCGAATGATTCCCTTCTCTCGACCCCTCGTGACGCAATGATGACTGTATCTCGACCCTTCGTGATGCAATGATGACTCTCTGCGCCTCATTCCCCAGGCGACTGAATGTATAAACCAGCTTTATAATCTCGCCTGGTTGCGGAATGTTTACGGAAACTTTTCCCAGAGATTGGCGAGGGACTTATTACTTGAGTAGACAATTTACAAACACAATATACTAATATGGAAACTGAGATGGGATGGAATGGGAACTTTTGTGACTAATAATGGAACAACTATGACCAAATATGGATTACCAGATATGTGATGTCACTGAACCAGTTTATTTCCAAGACACCTAATTAACCCAAACCTAACTGTCGGTCATTTGTAGGCAATGGCCCTAAAACAGAACCATTCTTATACTTGATAAACTATAGTGGCAAAGATATGTGTGCGCGTTAAAGAGTGTTGGAAATGTACAAAGAGCTGGCATAAACGCCATTATCCTGGCAAAATTTGCTTCATAGCACACTGCATGGCGTTTGAACTTCTTCTTTTCCGATGGGCGCAGAACAGTGAGATGACACCAAAGGGCAAAGGTCACCGATTCATTCACAATTCACATGATCTATACTTACCTAGTGTATAACTTGTAGAGATACATTCTCCATTATAAGGATGGGCACTCTTGTCAGCCTCTGTTGCAGGTCTGAATCCAGCTTTACAAACACATTTCGCATCTTCACAAAGCATTGTATTACCTACATTTAAAAAATAAAAAATAAATCTAATACTGTATAACATCTGAAAATATCACCGGAAACTCCATAAAGTTCTCAAAATGTGTTTGATTACTTAGTTCGGGACATACTATAATACAATAAGACAATTATTATTAATGAATAAG